CCTCTTATGCCCATTTGATACAATTGGAGACTTGTTTTCAAATTTCTGATTATTTTTATTATAAAAGTCAAGCGTTTGTCCCTATTTTTTCTTTAATTAAGATGAGAATGGATTCAAGTTGAATCTATTTTTACTTCTCTCCAATAAAAGCAGATACTTGACCAGTATCAAATACATTTTCTTGGCATTTAACTGATATTTTATGAAAGGAAAGAAAAAGCATATTTGTGAAATTTATGTTATCTTAACTTTTAATGGACCAGTCAGTGCCACTAAACCTATCTTGGCCTTTAATGATCATAAAAGTAATTTCATCCCTTCCCCCCCCCCCCCTCTTTTTTTTTTTCATAACATTAGGTTTAAAAAGTCAGTCATACTAAGCTGTTTTTGCATAGCAATTTTTTAAAAAAGAAAGTATGATTTAAAACCTGACAGTATTCGGTAGTTATACTACATTATAAAAATCCGGAGCATACTTCTTATATTGCAATGTAAGTTCTGATGGTTCCACTGCATCACTAACATCTTGAAAATACATTAGCTCAACATATTATTTAAATTCTAGCCCTTGACTAGACTCAGCTGCATATGCATATGTACCTGCATGAATTTATTTCACTGGCATCAACTTTTTTACCATTTTTCACAAATAACCACAGAAGCATTTCTTAAAATGTCAAATGTAGTGTGCTGCATCTGAAGTTTAGGGGTGATAGAGTTGATTTGTATAGTTAATGTCTGTTCACGTGATGGGGATAACGTATTTCTATGGCCAGCCCTTGGATTAGAGGTTATTAGACTGAAGCAGGTAAAGTTTCTTCGCTAATATTTTCATTCCTCTCTTTTGCCAAGCACAGCATTTGATGGTTTAACTTCAACTTACTTTTTCCGGACGTAGCGTTTGTAAATGCTCTACATAGAAAGGCCTGACTTTCTTGGGGCAAATGCTTTGTCTGTTTTTTTTTTTCTGTAAATAACTATAAACAAGCAAATGAAGATCAATTATAATTTATCAAGGATGATACACGCTTAAGACCTGATTCAGCCTACACTGAAATGCCATTAATTATGCTGTTTTTAACAAGCCACTCAGGTGGTTGTTAAAGCACACCTGAAGGGCTTTTATATAAACATGTCTTAGAATTCTGCATGCATGCAATATTCAGATGTGTTAAGTCTATTAATAGGAGGAATGTATTTCAAAAAAAATTTTTTTAAGGCATAGCTATCAGTTACACTTTTTGTGTTTGAATGTTTTAGTTATATCAAAGCCTACAGTTGTTATTGTGGTAAAACGATAGTGTGAAATTGATGCTGTTATACTATAACAATAAGGACGTGACTCATGTATTTTATGTACACATGCATTCAACTGTAGTGACAAATGGCTTCATGCTGTGTGATTAAATGCATATTAGCATTTGCCCTAGGCATTTGATTATTACCATCTTTACTTCATTACATTACCACACTGTATGGCCATATAATTTATAAGATAATACAGACATCACTTTGTTGCTGATAGGAATTATTCTGTTTTATGGATGGTGTCCTTTAATTTTGCCTTTCATGGATTATAAAATTGGTTAATATCTGCTGAAGTGAATCACTGGAGAAGCAAATAAAGATGTTGGCCTCAGGTCACAGTGTCATTTGTGATACTGGCAAAATCTTACAGCCTCATTTATCCCTGTACATGATTGATAACACCATGGGTTAAATGGAGAAAGCTTTGCTTCCATTAAAGGATCATCATGAATGAAGACCTCCCACTTAAAAGTCAGGCATGATGAGAAGACAAGAGACTATCTACAGGTCAAATTAAATAACTTAAATAATTTAAGTGGAATGACAGTGTAATTTGTTCATTCTGTGTTATTACCCTGACCCCTATCAGGCTTGTAGGCTAACTTACTTTCTGGTATAGGGTATTTAAGATGTAATTTTTAATAAGTGCTTTTCAAAGATATGAAACCCTTTATAGCACTTAAAATTGTGTTTAAATGGATTTCATAATGTGGTTTTAAAAAAGTAATCTTTGTCATTATTTTGTTAAACATAGAGCAAGTAATAGAAAAACAAATGTAGTAAATGGTTCAAAATAGGAACTTTAACCACTTTTACTTTTTAAAAAATTTTAAAATGTTATCTTACAGCTGCTCCAGATTTTTTTTTATTATTTTACAGATACTCTGACAAATACCAGTAGTTAAAGTAAAAATGCATCTATTTAATCAGGAATATTTTTGGTTGCACAAAGTTTTGTGCATCATTTACTTTATCAAAAGGACATTTGTTAATTATCATACATCTTTATAGTATCTCTAGGCGGTTGTATTTGTGATATTAAAAGGCATTCTATCAGTATAAGGAGATATTTTTGAAGTATTTAATTTTGGAACTTTATTTCATATATTCTTGTTTCTTGTCAAGCACGTAGTATAAATTATTCAGCAGGCAACGAAGTTCTTTGATTTAGTTGTGATAGAAGAGACCATAGGAGTGTCTCACACTCAACTTGGAGGACAAGGAGAGGGAGCGAGTATAACATGTACTCTACCTTGCAATTTTCAGCAGCAGGCTGTGAAGCATTTTGTTGCAGTCTCAGAAGAAGCAGTCTGACCTCCCTGTACCAGAATGAGTACAAATTACTCATGAGAAAATGGTACTTCATGGTGAAGGGACTCAATGAGCTGCACTCTGAAAAGTCTTTATCCTTACTCACTGCATTGGGGAGGTGATATCTTGCTTGTCGAGTGGTCTTGCTAAGACCAGTGAGCTGAGGGAAAGCCCGTGAATGCCCAAGGCCCATTTTATTCCATCCCTTAAAGTATAACACTACTTTGAAAATATTCTACTGAGAAGATAATTCTCAAATTGTTTTTGTTGTGGGGAGTAAAATCACAAGCCAAAGTCTATCAGGATTAATACATGTTCTTCTACCACTTGACTTGAAAAGAAATTATTTCTTAGCTAAGTTCTTTTGGTGCATCTGCCTCTGTAGGATGAGGCCCAGAGTTAGGGCACTGTTTTTCTGTGTCGAATTTTTTCACAAGCACTTTTACCTGTTTGCTCCAGCTACATGTGCTGCCAGGATTCTCTATTTGGTAATGGTACCATCTTGCAGAAATTCATCACTGTAGAATCCCTGAACTCCAGAGATGTGAACTGACAGCCAGTAGAATGAGAGCATGGATCATATCTTAGCGTTATATTCACAGTATCTTGTCCTTCAGAATAGAATATAGCCTGATAAAAATGAAATTAAATTCCTCCTTACCTGATCTATTATGCGTTATTAGCATTTTTATTAGTTTTATAATCATGAAAACCTCCCAATATCTGAAATGGTATAAAAAGTTTTGTTTGTAGCGCTGTTTATGAATTAAGGGTAGAACATCTATCAGTAGGAAAATGATTTTGAAAACTTGGATGAAAGAAACAGAAACATTTTTATATGCTTTTGATGGTCTCATTCCATCAATTCTAAATTTTTTGGCTAAAAAAGATTAGTTTCTTTGCTTCATGTTCTAGTGCTTTAGCTTAAAAATACTAAGCCTAAATTGTATCTGAAATGCATACATATTGGTTAAATGCCCAATACATGTAGGCACATTGAGGTAGCAGATTTGCTGACCAAAGTGGTGTATGTCGGTGCATAGCTTTTATTCAGACATTTATTCAGCTCTTCTTCTTCAAAAATCGTTCACAGATGCATATTTTGTGACTGGCAAAAGAACATAAAAGCTTATTTTTGTGTTATTGAACAGCTCAGGAAGTATTGACGGTATGTTTTAAGATGTAAATAAGCCTGTGTTTCTGGGGTTGCTTTTTTTTTTTTTTTTTTCCAAAGCAAAACCATCGTTTCAGTAACTTCGTTCTAATTCCATTCAGTGGGATAAATGACTGGGAAATCAATCTGTTATCCATGACCAAGTAGCTTAAATTTGATCTGTGCTGGAGTTTTATTTAGACAACGGCAAAAAAAAGGTAAGCCCTGATTTGTAGTTGTTATGGCCCCGTGATACAGACCAGGTCTCTGTTCTTCCTGCAGTAATTCCTTCCAAAGGGTTCTGCAGCAGTGGCCAGGTCAATCGTAACTCCTGTACTCTGCCCCTTCCACTTTGAATTCTTAGTACAGGAAACATACAAAAAACAGTTATGGTGCTGGGAGTGGATAGTAGTGTACTGAAGTGTATGTGACTAGGTTGTTCTAGTGAACTGTTGGAAATTCAGTCATATGTATAAAAATATTATATGGAAAGTACAGTTGTTACCTATTCAAAAATAAGTTCAAATGCTGCCTAAACTGACAAAAGTATTATGGTCATCTTCTCTGATATCACTAGCAAACATGCCTTGCTCCTACAGAGGCATGTATGCCTTTTACGTTACCATAAATCCTTGCTCGTCAGTAGTTGATGTAGAGCCCAGAATTCTGGTGTTTGATTTCATTAGAACAGGAGGAAAACAGAAACCATTTTTCTCCTTAAAGTTCAGAAGCAGAAACCCCAAATACTACCTGTAGTTCATGATTTCGGGCTAGTCTGAAGATTTTTTTATTTTTTAATTGAACCGGATTTATGATTTTAGAAATCTTGGGGTTGGCAAATGTAAATCTTGGGGTTAGCAATGTTATACTATTTTTTTCATGGCCCGATGTGCTAGTTGCAATTCCTGCATGCCAGTGCAGGGCAGTTACTCTGGAAAAAACCTGTACTACTTCCTTTTTCATACATGGTAATCTTTATTTAAAAACAAGCCAAAAATTAAAGAGGAAAAACAAAGGGATATGGTGAATTAATGATAAAGCTGTTTGTTTTCGTTTACAATACCACACATTTATTTAAAATAAAAATGGTAATAATTATATATTGGCTATAAATAGTAGTTTTACTCTTTTTGAAAGGAATTTACTTCCATGTTTGCAAGTTTTAAAGTTTGTATCTCTTTAAAGATAAACTGAAGACATTTTTATTTTGCAGAAAAAAAATTAAAGAATGGATGAAGACTTTAAGACAAAGGCACTTGACTCTACTCTTCAAAGTCCATCAGAGACATTACTTTCTATTCGACTGTTAGATTTTAAAACAAGTTTGTTGGAGGCAATAGAAGAGCTGCGTATAAGAAGGGTAAATGTGTTTAGATTGTTTTCAGCATTTCTTTGTCTTATTTCTGTCTTCCCTTATGTGATCATAGAAAATCCTGTTCAACTGTGTGTAAATTTCATATAGTATTTTAAATAATCCACCAACCAGGATTGCATTTGAAAACATAGATTTAGGTAGTGTTTGTGTTTGAAATTTCTTTCTGGGCAGCTGAAAGACAGCATGCTTGAGTGGTAACCGTGAATCCGGCTTTCTTAGACTTATCTGCAAAATTATCAGAGTTGATCACCAGGATGTTGTCCAAAAAAAAAAACTGTATTAAAATTTTATACTTTATTGTAGTCATTTCATATCTTTAAGAGTAGCCTTTGATATGAAAAGGAAAGACAGCTAATTCAAGTCATTGCCAACTCGATAACAGTCTTTCTCATTTAACAGATATTGATTTGCAAGGAAAGAAGAGTTTTTGACCTGTTTTATTTTTTCTTGTGCTTTTCTGAATAACAGAAGAGAGCAAAGAGCTAATTGCTACTCTGTTAGGCTAGAGCCCTAGAATACTAAATATATGAGTTTTGGGCATTTAAAAACAGAATCACAATGAGGTACTAAGGTAAAATTGTTTCTGCATAGTTAAAGGCAGTTATTTTTTCTGTGGTTAATTTTTCAGTTGTATGTATGTATACATTTGATTTTATTTTTCTCTTAAGAGTTTCTGAGCCATTATATTTTTGAAAGGCAGAAAGACATACTTTAGGTATTTGATGAATTTGACCTGTTCAAAAGATGTGTGTTATTACTTTAAAAACTTTAGCATTAATGACATGCTTGATTTATGCTTATTTTGATCTAAGTTAAATGCTATAATCCTCTCTTTAAAAACCATAAACAAAAGAATGACTGCTGTAAAATATCCAAGATAAAAAGCCACCCGATACTATTTTTCTGATGCAGTAGTACTGAAAGTTACCAAGGTCTATTCACTAGACTCTGTTACAATGGTAGTGTTTAGTCTGGTCTAACTATTTTTATATTAAAAAGTAAAATCTGAAGGATTCTACTTACCTATATTCTTAGACCAAACTTTTCCATAGGAGGTCTGTTAGCCAAACTCCTTTTTAACCTGGTTTTGCATTTTTGATATGTTTGGTCAAAGCCTAAAATGTTTGAATTCGTGGAGAGTGCCTTCAAATTTCATCTTCTGTAATTTTTTATTTTTGTTTGTCTGTTTTGTCTACTGTACTACAAGAGCAAGTGACTGTGGTTTTGTACAGGCTTCCTCAGGAGGATAAGCCATTTTTTGGCTAAAGATGTTTTTAATTTCAAAGTGAATGCTAATGTCTCGAGCCAGAAGTCAATTCCCATCCGTAAGATCTGTCCCTCGGTTTTTAAAACACTTATGCCTTCATTTATCCCGCAAAATATTTATGTCTTTGTAATTGCAAATTTAAGTCCAAAGAAGTCAAATATTTTACAGCTCGTCAGTTTGAAAGCTTACAATATCCCTGCATGTGTTTTTTGTATTTGCTGTGCCAATCAGTTCAGGGCTACTTCTTTAGTACTAAAGTCTGAAAATTTGAATATAAAACATTAATAATTTTGATTAAGAGTATGGCCACATGTAGTCCCATTCCTTTTTTAAGTAGAACTCTGGATGTTTTTGCTTGAAAATTGTGGTACAAAATCCTTTCCTGATTTTAGTTATTAACCTATTGCATATCCAACCACCGCAAGGTTATCTGGTAAATTTACTGTCTGCTCTGAGAGAAAGGTAGTGCATAGATCTCATACTTTAGGAACAGATCAAAAAATAGTGCCAGCTTCGAGGATTATAGCACTTGCCTTCTGCTGAGGTAGTTTTTCCATGGACGAGAATGAAACAGACCAGCTTAAATCATGTTATCCACTAAATAGGAAAGTGAAAGGCAGAACAGAAGGTCTGCTGGTTTCTCACTTCTTTTGCCGTTTCCTTTCCAAGTGGCTCACGAGGCTCATAGTAGTTTGATAGTCCAATGGAGGCAGGATAGCGAAGTGTAATGAATTTTACTCTCCATTTTGTCTTTGACCTGTGGCTTTACCTTAGATGAAATATTTTACCTTGTACGAAAAGCCAGAATTTTGTAAGCTAGGGCTGTACTGACTTGCAGTTATTGACAGGTTTCATACTTCAATATATTTTAATGTACTGTATAACAGAATTCTATTGCTTGAGCCGAAGGAGTGTGGTGAAGTAGCAGGTTGTATGAGAATCAGTCACTAGAGAGGGAAGTGAGATGTTTTGATTTGTCAGGGGAATTCATATCTGTGCTCACCGCACAGGAGTGTGGGCATCTCACACCTTCGGGGATCAATTTCATGTAGTGCAAAGGAATGTGCTAGATGCTCCTACAGTTTTGCTCCAGTAGGTCTCATTTTGTTCCTATTGACTCTGCTCTCCCTCCCTGTACCTAATGCTCCTTTTCCCTATTTTTCCTTTCCTTGTTTTTTTTGCCTGTGTTCTGTTGTGCCTTCTTCTGTTCTTATGTAACTTAGACCTCTCTTTTGTACTTAATTTTATGCTGGATAACAAAATGATCAGTGAGGAGTCACAGAGAAAGAAAATACAAAAAGTTCTTTTTTGTTGTTTTTTTCCCCCCTCTTCATAAAAAAAGACAAATCCTGAAACCTGTAGCCTGTTGTCATGATGCAGATATTTTGGTGCTCACAACGCGTTATCTTGAGCTTTTTTCCAGTAGCTGACTGCAGAAGCTCTAGTTCACCCTTGTTCTGCTGAGCTATATGTGTTCTTCCTTTCAGCTAGATTTGCACAAATTTGTTGCAATTCCTTTTATTTTACCTTTGTTATGGCTTTGGCTCTTGTAACATGACTTCATTAGCACATTGGCCTTTTTCCAGGTTTTCTTAGGGGGAGGACGTGTATGAGCTCTGCTCATCCTTAATTACTTTCCTGCATTCCTAGAATACACTTCTGCTTTCTGACAACCTGTGAAGAGGTTTGCACTGCCCAGTGTTGCACCATGCAACGATACCAGAGTTAGCACAAATGTGCCAGTGCCAGAATGGAAAAGATGTATGTAGTTGTGCTAGCAGAGCTACCTCTTCTAATTAGCTGTGCTACACCGATAACGTGGGCAAGTTGAGTTGAAATTTGAAGATTTGTATTTGGAAGTATCACTTATGTCCAAAAGAAAAAGTGATATTTGAGGTATTAAGTAAAGAAAGTTGATGAAACCATGAACTTACTTACCAAGAGGAGCAAAGCAGGATTACCCTTGAGCTCTTACAGGTATTAAAACATTGGTAGACTTGCCAATTATGCTCATAATGGTCATATTGGTTATGGTATATCTAGAATGAAAATAACAGAAGTGTTATGATAGGGCAAAAACTAAACCTTACTGGAGGGATGTTGTGCAGAAGAAGAACCATCTTCAGATGCGTGGAATAGCAGTAAAATTAAGAGTGGTAGAAATTTGGCAAAAAGGAATCAGAGGCACCTGCAGTAGATATATGAGCAGTCCAAGGGACAGGATAATCCTCAGTGAACAAAAATGTGGATTTGAAACTTTCTCTGTGTGTATTTTTGTTTGTTTTTAATTTAATGAGAAAAGAGCTTGGTTTTAAGGCATCTCCAAGCTGTTGTATGGGATGAGGATAGAATCATGAAAGAAAGATATCTTTCAAATTTTACATTTTGAAGTTGGTATTAATGAGAGGGACAATCACTTTTGTAAAAGTGAAGTAAGGCAAAAACATTTTATAGAATGGAAGAGGATGCTAGGGGAATTAAAGATTTTGGTGAGGTTTATTACAAGAAAATTCTGAGAGCTAACAAATAATAAGCATAGTGACGAGCTTAATTTCATTTTCTTAAGTTATGGAATAAGAAGAAAAGTTAATGGGGGGGGGAAGAAGCAATGATAAAATAACATAGGATAGGAAGGTTACTTTTAGCTTTTTGCCTAGAAGCTGACAAATAGGGCACTACTAATGTAGGTACCAGAGAAACAGAACAAGAAGTCTCAGTAGTCTTATAACTGGATTTCTGCCTAAGTATAAATTAGGGTACTCTTTAACAGAATTGTGGAACCAAGAAAAGCTGAAAAAAAAAAAGTATCCTGAAATAAAAGAATAAGCAAACTTCAAGTTCCTCAGTCTCATAATGGAGAGCTGTACAACATTGTTCGTTAAGACAGTAAGCAGTGTGTTAGGTTATAACTTCTGTTTTAGCAAATAATGTGGCTTTTGATTAGGAACAGATTATTTGGAGAGAAAAATATTGTAAGCATCAAATGCAAGCAATTAAAGGAATACATATAGATGATTTTTATTTAAATATAGAACAATTGCAGTCTTGTTGTGGAATTAAAGACGGAGCAATGCAAAGTTTCCAAAGGAAAAAAGGTGGTTGGGATACATTTCTGTTTCTCTGCTTGTGTGAACAAGCAGTTGATAGTATGCTTCTGAATAAGGAATACTTTTGAGAATAAATTCCAAAGACATGGTTATTCAAAGTTTTAATTAACTGTCTTAGGATGTTTTTGGATCTTAATAGCTATCAGGAACTAAAATTAGAATAAAGCTGTTATAACAAATGTTTTCTCTGCCGTTAATGTTTGTCCTGGGAACAAAACTTAAGAATATCCATGAAGTCTACCAAAAGTGGTACTTGATTGTTTAGTTTATGAAGGGTATTCTAATTATACTAGAAGACAATCAGAAACTGAGTTTCTGTGAATGCTATTTGATTGAGCTGCATGAGAAATTGGATGTGCAATTTCGTAGGAGGTAGATTATGAGTTTGAAAAAAGATAATAAAAGTACCTAGCAGCAGTTTTGGCTGCTTGGACATGAGCCAGCTGTACTCTGTTCCTAAATCTGTTCAGGGTCAAGAATCGAGGGGGCTTGACCAATCCACAGCCCGTCTTGTAAAACTACAGCCTGAAGCAAACACTTTAAAGAAGGCTTGACACTTTCTAAAGGTTATAACGAGTAAATAAACCATCAAATTACTCCTCTTTTATTGTTATGGTAGTCTTTTTATAAAAACACTTAAATTCATGTAGTCCTAAGGCATCTAATAAAAAATAAACACTCTTAAGGTTTTGTATTCTTTGATAACTCATCAAAGTTGTGTATAATATTATGCTCGTAAGTATAACAACATTTTTGTCTTATTAAACAGCTGTAGGAACTTTAAAAAAAATGCTTCACACAACTTTTAAAAGCTTTCAGTTCAAAATAGGTGAACTATAAATGTCCTTTGAAAGAAGTAAAAATGATGGATAAGGCTTATAATTGTTAGTCATTTCACAAGAGAACATTTTTAATCATATAATTGTCATTCTTACTTTGAGTATTTATTACGTTTACTGTTTTTCTCAGTAGTAGTTACATATATACACGTTTTTTGATAGCTTCCAGATTTTCCTTTAGGATTCGGGATACAAGTAGATTTGGGAGTAAATTGGAGGAGTGTTGTTCACTTGGTTCTTATCCTCTTTAGTGTTTAAAGCAAAGAGTTCATTAAAAATTGAATTAAATGCAGTTTTCAAACTATTATATTATTGTATTTATTTAGTTAAACGTAAAGTATTTGGCATAGATATGGCAATTACTAATTATAATTGAGTCTTAAATTTTAATGTGCTATTTCTTGGAATAATATCAAAATTTTAAACTAAATACATGCCCAGATGTATTTTTAGGTATGTTATTTTTCAGTGTTCTCATTCAGATTTAAAATTCTTACCTACACATTTTAAAATTGAAATGGTGTGCATGTTTGATTATGAATTGTCTGCCTGTTCCATTTTTTAAATAAATTATTTTGGTTTTAAAATAACTTCCTTCGTATATGCACTAAAGACTTTTGGTTGCATTTAGGTAACTGTTGTGTTTAGGTAAGCCTAGTCTATTTGAATGGCAGTTTTGAATTTGAAGTTGGAGTTTATAACATTAGTATTTGCTATATTGCTCCCCTTTGAAATATTACATTCTTATCTCTTTATTTCATGGTAAGTTGAGTTTGGCTGGATACTTGTTGATCTCCAACAACAATGGAAATCGGTGATATTTTTGCCATTAGTTTTAGTGAAGTCAGAATTGCACTGCATATACTAAGCTTTTTTATATTTGTTATTTTATTCTCATAAGCCGTATTTCTTTTCTGATGTTAGGCTGCTGTTGAAAGTTTGTTGTATAAATACTCTAAACCTGTGCTTTTGGCTTAACAAATACACCGAAGTAAGTGATGTTTGTAAAGAAGAGAAGGCTACAATTTTACATATAGAATCTAATGAACTGCAACAACCATAGTGTAATTGGTTTGCGTATTATCAAGATATGTACTTCAAAAAATAGCTGACATCATGAACAAGCTTGTTTTCATGACATGCACTCAATTGTGCAAATACTTCATCTGCTTTGTGGGCAGTTTTACTCCTAATTTATATTGATGTAACTCCATGCTAGAACTCCTGCAGCAGTGTGTTCTTGTTGCTTCTCTTGCACTGGTACAAACTCTTGGGTTCCATGAGGCCACATCTGATCCAGGGGATAACTGGCTCCCTTCTCCCTGCTTAGTTGTTCACTGGATTGAAATCCTGCTTTCGTCTATCAAATAGCCTTACATATGATAGTGTCTGCATAAGGAAGTGATAGAAACATGTAGCCTGGAGTTAGGGAAGAATACAACTACAGTGCATTTTTTTGATTAGTTAAGGAATAATTTTCATGGCCTATTTAAGGGTGAGGTTTTATGATCTGCGCTGCTTACAAATTTCTACAAGACTTTTGCTAATAATGCATCATTTTAATCACACTTGTTGCTTAATGGCATGAATTACTGTTAAACTATTATAAGAAACTGTTAGTCAGAATAATTTGTTTTTGTCATCTCTAGGGAACTTAGGGGGATATATTTTCATTCAGTACTTTTAGGTTAAGTATGGGAAAACAAAGACATTGCAACTCCAAAGTGCTATTTTTTAAGGCAGAATTGGGGCACGTTGTTATCTTTTTCATTTTTTTAACTTCTCTTTTTTTTTCCTAAGGCATATGAAATCTTTGGGTCTCCAGCTATATCGTGTTGGCACATATCAGAGAAACAAAAGCTAAAGAACTTTTTGCTAGTTCTTTGTGGGTCAAATTTTAATGTTAAATGTATGTTCACTATTTTATATTTAAAGGTTACATGAGTTTTGAGGCATATTTTTAGGTCCAGCAGGCAATTTTTGAAATACTTAGGAGCACCCTCATGTGGACAGACGTGTTATTTCTGTCCACACATGTACCTCTAAACTTCCTGTTAATCAAGGAAGTCATTTTTGACCCTAAAATGTGTAAACAATATCACTATTAAAAACTTGTTTTAAATCCCTTTGGGACATACTTTGCCATTTCATTTCTGCTGAGAGTGCAGTGTTTCTATGGATAGTACAGCGGGACTATGAATGAAATGTTACGCTAGGTGTAAAAGGGTTAGAAAACTTTAAAACAGACTTGTACTGGTTGTAGCATTGTAAATATCTTTGTATTAAAAACCTGGAACCCTCTATTTGTACTGGGTTTAGGAAAGAATTTTCATTTCTTAAAGATGCAGCATGCTTCATTCTTTGCAGCCAACCATTTGTATTATCTGCTTCACTAGAAGGAGGAAGAGCCTCAGTTTGTTCTTTTCCTTACTGTTTCAGAAAATTTATTAATTTATCCAAAGGTGATTTTTCATGGTAAGTAATAGTAGTTTAATTATTGTCAGTCAGCAGAGATTTGCTTAACACTTATCAAGAGAATAATTTGTTTAAGGCCTGCTTTTAATTTTGCACTAGAGCTGTCCCTAAATCCCTTTTTTGTTTGTTTTTCGTTGGTTGGTTTTGTTTGTTCGTTTGAGCTGTCTTTGTTTCCGTGAGGACTACAGCCATTTTTTTGCGGTAGTCTGGGCTGTTGAAGTGTAGGTCATTTCATGAGCACTGTTTTTCATCAATTTAGAATGCAGATTTTGGATTGTAATGGGGAAGATGAACTCAAACAAGCATAGTGCTGCACAAAATATATCAAAATTCAGTAATTCAGAACATGTTTCAAGTTTTCGGAGTACTCTCTCACCTCACACAGTCAGTTTGACCATTGCTGGAATGTATCGCACTGAAGTCCTCAATAAGTGCTACTGGTGCACTTGTTCATCAGAGAGAAGGCAATCTTAACCTTAATGTAGTCACTTGTTCAAGGTAGCAATCTGTGTGGCTGAGAGAAGGCATGAAATTAGCCTTTTTAAGTGCAGAGCAACATATTAATGTAGCTCTTTGGATCTTTAAAGGATATTAATTGTTTTGAGTGTATGCAATAACAGGACAGCAGCGAGTTGCTTATCACAACATAAATCAAAAGCCTAAATACTGTTCTTGAGAGAAGTCATAATTCTCTGGTAGGAGAACTTATTTTGCTTGGAGTATTGTATTTGTAAAATAAGGCCAATACTCATAAAAATTTGACTCTAAAGGGTAGCTGATTCCAAGTAGGAACATTTTACTTTAATACCAGAACGTTTCAGAAAAATTCCCCTGAATTATTAGTAACCTTGATTATCAGCAGACAGGTTTCTTTTATTATCACAGTAGCAGTTTGATTCTTGACAAGATACTCCTGTAAGGATAGGAGCAGTAACAGAGCTCTTCCCAGCTGTTACTAGTCTATTTTCTGGCTTGTGAAGTAAGCTTTAGACTTTCGTAATCTTCTTTTCAGATGGTCTGGTAGCTCACCTTATCAAAACTATGTTGAATTTCCATGACTTCTCTCTAACTTTTTGTTTCCGTATGGTAGGTCGGAAGGCTTCTTGACACAAAAAGTTATGATAAATGTTTCACTTTTTCTTCTAAGTCATAACTGAATAACATTTTTATTATCTCTCACTATTTTTTTAATAAAGGATACTTTTGAAAAACTTTGCAAAGTACGGACATAATAACAGAACCAATTGCTAACAAAAATTTCATGTTGTTTTGGAAGATGTCAAAAAAGAACAGAGATATAATGCTTTGTGAGCTGAATCATTAAGATATCACCAAGATTTTGAATCATTAGCCATGATTATCTGTATCACTGATAAGCAATTGATTCTTGACACACTTCTAGCTTGTTGAATTTATTTTCATCTCAGTATTTTAAGCTGGCTCATCAGAATCTTCAGGCTTTTTTCAGCTGTGAAATTAAGATAAGTCTGCCTGTTCTATTCCCTCTGGCTCCGGTTTTGTTGTAAGATGCAGAAGAGAATACATATGAAAAGGGAACTGTTCCTGTTAATTAAGGTAGCTATAATCCTAGTTCCTAATTTGCTCTCCATGTCAGTCTGTTGTTTATTCTGTAAATTTTCTGGTTAGAATGGCAGGTCTGCTGTTTGACCACATATGGAGCCTTTGCTTCCTTTTTGTTGTCCAGTGTATAGGCACATACTTTTCTGTATACTGGACTGTAGAGGAAGAAAAGTATGAAAACGCAAATTTTGTTGGTATTTAATTTGCAGGTACTGGTCTTACATAAATTTATGACTTTTTTTGTTTAACTAGGAGACAGAGATTCATTATGAAGATCAAATAAGTAAAATTGTTGTTGAGAAACAGGAACTCGAATGGCAGAAGGTTGGTAACTTTCCTATGTGATTTTAATATGTTAACTGGTGGAATTTAATTTTAATATAATATGAATTGTGACCTGATATCCTTTTTATGGTTATTATCATTTTACTAATAAAATGTGATAGAAGCTAGTTTATTGTCTAGACATAAACTTTTGTAATTCTTATATTGATTTTGGTTGCTACCAGAAGTATGCTGAAAACCTGACTAACAAAAAAGCGTAACATCTCAAAATTTGGCATGACTGGAAATCTTTAGTTAGAAGAGATGTAGAACTTGAAGCAATAGGACATTTAATTTGAAATGAGGGGTCTTGAGACTATAATGTGGAGGAGGCTGTACAGCAGCTTGTCTGCACTATGCTTGGCTTTGACAAGGGCTAGTACCAGTACAGTTGTACTAACAACAACTTTGCTTGCAATGTGTTTGAGGGTGAGAATTTTTCTGAATAAATTTACTTTAAGCAGTAAGTTACAGCTAAGGCAGCATAATCTAAACTTAACTTTAAAGTTGTTGACTTTAAATGTTCAGAATTAAGTTTTCAGTAAAATGAATCTAGCATTCTTTTTGGGGTTAGGGCACCTGAGGTTATGCTTTCATAGGAAATCCATTCCTTTCGCTAATACAATCAAACCTATAACCCTGTCATTAGGTCACTAGATAAAAAGCTTTACTCTATGTTTTACGATCACAAAAAATAGCTCTATCCTTGATCCTGAGATTTTTAACATCTTAGTAGTAAAGGAAGACTATTTCTTCTTGGAGTTCATCCTGACTATCTTAAATTAATAATCCTAACTGTGTGCTTTTTTTTTTTTTTTCTGATATATATGTGCATACAAAAACAGGAGACATCTTATATTTGTAGAAGCAGCAGTGCTTTTAATTTGTAACCCTTTTTGCTTTTCTTAATCTAGCACTGCAGTCTTTCTCCATAATCTGGGTTCAAAAGCGATGATTTCTATTCTTTCTGAGACCTTAACAACAGTTCAATTTATCATTAATAAAAAGATGGGACTTAAAGTCAGTTAGATGAATTGTATCTTTTGACGGACTTTGCATTTAACATTAGCACATGGCAAATCTCATGTAAACAATGAATTGTAGACTTTAGTAACTTCATGTAAGCACATATGCAGAGCTGTGAAACTTGAAAGGAGCAAGCTAAAATGAGTTTCCAGTTCTGGAGAGTCGAGTAAGATGAAAATGCTAGGAAGTGTGACGTTTGAATTGAATTTGTGACCTAATGCTTTCTGAATGCAGAATCACATTGACCTCAACATAGTTCAGTAAGTAAGGAGAAAGTTTCTACCCTTGGATTATAAAAGGTTTCTGTTGTATTCTCCTTCTGAAATCCCTTTCAACCAACATTTCTATGATTTGATATGCATTTTATTTTACCCTAAATCTGGCAAACTAATTTCAAATAAGGACATGACTTAAGCTGAGTCTCTGATTTAATATCATAGTTTTATAGGTAAATTTTTGTCCTCATTTTATGAATATTGTTGCTGCTGTACAAAAATGCTAGAATGAATGGAGAAAATACTCGTTTAAACATAATAAGTATACTCATACTTACTATAACATCACAATATCTAAGGTGATTTTGCTTATAATTTTTAAAAAGTAACTTTGCCCTTCACACCCTCTGATGCACCACACACATACGTACTGTTCACAGGAAATATAACCCGAACCTGAATTTCATTTTTATAATCACATTATTAAATAATCTCATCTGTGAGGCCTGTTAGGAAACCAATAATGTAATGAGTATCTGTAGAAAGTTTCCAGTTGTTTTTGTAAGTAAAATACATCACTAATATATGGTATAAGGAAGACTGATATATTATGAAGCTCTCGCTAATTCTTTTGTCCTGTTACCCATGGCATCAATGACAAAATTACATAAAGGATGACCATCTGTGAAACCAAACTTATATCTGCATAAATTATTATCTAATATTAGGTTATAGGAACTCAAGCCAAAGATGAAATGTCATTTTAATTTAATTAACTGTGGATATCAAACTTATTCCTACAATGTGTCCCACTGAGAATAGTTGATTTGCTGATGCAGCAGTACCATTTCTGACTTTTTAACCTAGTTGGTATGCCTTTTATGCAGTAGAGAACTAGCGTCTCTGAATATAAGTTGTAAGTGAAAACTTCTCTTAGTCTGCAAGATGCTTTTCACATCTTTGAGTATTCGTTTATGTAATACATACTGTTTATTAGAATGTAGATACAACCCCAAACGTTCTGTAACTATCTCATGGTGAATTAATGAGTATGTACTTTAATAGTAAAACAGCTTACCTTCACAGATTCTCTTCTTGTTCATATCAAAAGGTAACAGGATTATTATTTTTAATTCTTTTTTTTAATGGAGATGAAAATTAAAATTCTATTTAACTCTTTGAAACTATGTCAGGATACTGTCTTAAGATGGGAATGGGTTTTGGATTGCTTCTGCAGCTTGATGGAATGGATGAGAGTTAGTTTTTTTGGGGAGAGAGTTTTTTGGAGAGAGTTAGTTTTTTTTTTTTTTGAAGGTCCCAGCGGCAACAAGAGAGCTCTGAGAATTGTTACCACATTATGCATTAGAAGAGAAGCTGCTATCAAAAAGATGATTTACCAGTTAACAAATGTCTCTCTTTAGTCTTCAGTCGTAGTTATTTAATCGATTATGTCTTTCTAAAAACACTTAAGAATCTTTTTTTTTCTTAAATACTATCTGTAAGATTTGTTCTACAAATGATATTTAAAAGATATTCCTGTTATTTCCCATGAGCAGGAAGCTCTGCAGCATCAGACAGACACATTGCATCAACAAAACAAAGAAGCTGTGGCAACTTTTAAAAAACAGGTAGCAAAATAAGGGCCCCCAGCTTTGACAAAAATATTTTTAATTATGATGGCATAATAGCAAGCTATCAGATGGTATTAAAATACTTTTCTGATGCATATTAAGTGATAGAATATACAGCTCAAATAAATCGGTAACCCAGTCTTCCTTGGAATCATCTTTTTTACTACTAATTTATAAACACAGAATCCATAGACAGAATTATTGGAGAAGATACTGCCTCTTTTAATCTCTTTTTTTTCTCTCTAAGATAGCATGTCTTCTGCAAGTTCAGATTCATAACCCATGGTAAAAGATCTATCATACAGAAGTTCAATGTTTTAAAGCGTGTTTCAGTCTGTAAAATCAAGGTTGTGTTTTTATCTGTGATATGTAATCAACAAATGGCATGTGTTGGAAGAACTTGTAGAGAGCAGTCATGGGAACTGAAATTGTTCTTGCACGTGATGATGATGGATTTTATTGCTAATGCTACATCAGCAGTCATAATATCACAAAAAAGATTAGCAAGCGATGAGTTTTTCTGTTTGTCTTGAGAAAAGAAAGTAATTTGTGATTTGCAAGATTGCTGTTGCTGTAGATCTGTAGTTATAAAAGAAACGCACTGTGCAGGGTAGCATAACTGTATTGTCTTGTCAAGTTGTATGAATAAAATTAATCCCATGTGTTGTATTAATTTGTTGTTTTGGTTTTCTTATGCTGCTGACAATCAAGTTACAGGCAAAGGTGTTTGCCATGGAAGAAGAAAAGGTACTGTTCGTAACAATTACTTATTATTTGTCATCCAATGAAGCGCATAAGCATACAATAAAGTTATATAGGTTACTGGACATGTTCTAAATATCAACTAAGTATATTATATTTATGCTATTTTTCTTACTTTGGCCTTTGCAAAAGATATTTGTTTATAGACTATAGAATTATAATTACTTGTGAGCTATCATTACTTGTTTGTTTATAACCTATAGAACTTTAGTTAGTTGTGAATTGTCATTTTAAAATCTGCTAATACTAAAATGACTGGAGAATAGTGTTCTGTAATACTTCTATATTGAAGCTTTGCAAAGTTGCACTTTATTTTGGGACATTATGTCACAGCCTTTTTCACATGCTAGTTAACCAGAAATAAAAATTTTAACTGGCTTAATAAAACCAGTTTTTAATAGATCTTTTATTGGTTTAGCTGAGCTAGTTTGCTGAGGAACTTAAACTAAACTGAAGCACAATGTTCTTAAGTCTTCTGAATGTCTCCAGTATGTTTTTTTAACCACCTGAGTTTTTATACCAAGTTGAGCTCCTGCTTCATCCTCTGAATACAGGATTTGCAGAGGCTATAACAGAGCCCTGTTTTGAACAAGTAGTCAAGCCAGTGAATGTCTGCATAGGCATTCTCTTGTTTCACTTAAATTTCCAAATGATTCTTAAGTAAGAGTGGATGGGTATGCTATGTATATAACAATTCACACAGAAATATACAAAACACTTAGATGAAATTGGTTTTTAAAGTATATTGGTGTAAAATATTTTGCTGCATGTATAGCATCTAGCTGAATTCTTTTTAAAATTTTTAAAAATTTGTTGTTATTAAGACATCCAGCTTGTCTATACCAACCTGTGTACGAGTCCCTGATTTGGATTTTCAATGACAGCTATTGATTCAGAATTAAATTTTATATTAATTTTCTTTTTTTTTTTTTAAACCTCTAAATGCTTCCGCTGAATCCAATAATACTTTCAGTACTTTACACCAAAGTAATGGAAGGAAAAAAAAAACAGTTATGTTTTAGGACAGAATTTGAATGCAAAGAACCATTTTTGCTCTAGTTTACATTATATACATTTTTCTGACTCATCGTGGTTGTTTCAGGAGTTTGCACAGCCAGTGCTATGTTAGAAACAAAAGGAACACACCAGGAATGGTTGAATGGATTTCAACAACCCCCCCCCCCTCAGGCTCACCCATCTCTTTATTGTTTTGATTGTTACCTAAGTTTCTTACCTGATCTAATTCCATTGAAGTCTTTCATTTGCTTTCATATATTTTATATATGTAATACATATATCTGTAGGTATGTTTATACACACACACACACACACGTACATATACACACTCTCACACATGCACATGTATATGTGTGTGTGTATATGTATATACACAAATCTATGTATGTATATATTTAATAATTTTAATGATATCGGAATGCAGGTCAATCTCTTTATGGATTGGAAAAGCTGAGGAGGTTGTTTCCATGAAGGTCCTGCTACAGTAGATAAGAAAATGGATTTACGTGATGCCATTTTTTTGGTTATTTAATATCTTTATTCTAGACTGAAGTAATTTATTAATCCAGCTTTTGTCAGGCCTCTCTCCCAGAAAGGAAAAATCTAAAACTTACGGAGCAGTCATAAGTGCTGAAGATAATCATATTTTCACTTTTCCCTTTATAGCTATACATATGTGCTATCTATATGTGTGCTAAATATATATATGGTGTATGCACTGTATGTATAAGCTATATATGTGCTCTATATGCTATATATAAATGATTTAGCTGAATTCTGAGTTCCACACATGAATCGTCATCTATCATAGCAGGGTGCTGCTTTATTTTCGTAACACTTTGGTGTTAAGTTTTTGTTGTAAATGCCTTCATTTTGTCCAAATCCTGAAGTATCCCTTTTTTTTGAAAGGGAAAATATCAACTTGTTGTAGAAACAAAAGAAAAAGAAATTGATGGACTGAAGGAAACATTAAAGGCATTACAGGTAAACTATTATTATTGTTAAATAACTTTCCTTGAAATGCAGGTGTTTTGGTTTTGGCTTTTCACTGGTAAGAAAATAGTTGTTTTATAGAGCTCTTAGAGCCTTCTGTTTTCATCTTTCTGGTACACGTGCACCTTATCTACAACACTGAGTTTATGTTCCAGTCTTCAGTGTTGAGAGTAGTTTTAAGTTAACCCTCCAGGTAGAGGGTTCCAAAAGAACTGCAGAGTCAGTAAAAGGCTAAATGAAGTGTGAAATGTGATTGTTTCTTTTCATTGCCATGGTCTTCCTCTTTCTTTGTTTCCTTCTGTGGATTTGAAGACATTTCTCATCTTGCCTGGAAATTCCAGTTTTGGCCTCCTCAACAAAAACAAATATTCTTACGGGGCCTTAAACTCACAATGCAACCTGTGTTTTATATTATTTTCCTTGACTTTGTTTCAGGAGGAGGTGTCTGTATTTTCCACTTAACCTGTATCTTGCAAATGCCTTTTTGCCAGTAAAAGTAAAATTGTGTGGCATAAACCCACAATTTACTCTGGTGGCGCTTGGTGCCAATGTCATCTTGTCACATGACATTGGAGCACCTCTTGTGGCTGATTATGAGTATTTGAAATAAAGGAAAACCTCCAATTTATACTTTTCAAGAATATAAATAGGGACATAGCTAGTAGTGAGTTTTCTTTTAAAGACTGAGCCAGGTATGTTTGAGACATAAAAGAGAGTAGAACTGTGAAGGCGTACATTCAAAACAGATGAGAACCAGCATTGTAATGTGTTGCCAGATTTCAGATATTGCCAGCTTCTAATCACTTTTTTACCCAAAAGTGAGTGGGATAGTCATTAATTTCAATGAAAACAAAATGGTTATTATTCATTGCACTTTCAGATTGAAAGAAGAATTTTCTGTAAGAAAGATACCATTTGTTTACCTGTTCCACTTTTTTTTTTTTTAACCTGAAAAGACTAAGATTTCCAAATTCGTCATTTGTTATAAGTCAGTTTGGGCTATAGCTTTGACTGTACTACTTTTAATATATTTTTCACCTTACCTTTTTATGGTCAAAAATACTGATACCCATATAGTTTTAATTCTTTATTTTTGGGGGGGATCTCCTTCCATCACAATTAAAATGGAAAAATAAATAGAATTTTATATTAATTACAAATTCTTAGGAGGTGAAATAGACTGAAATTTTCACCTTCGTTTATAAATCGGAAGAAAGATTTATATATCAGAAAAAAGTTGTATAGGCAAAGACAGCAGTATCAATTCATTAAGTAGGATGGATGGATGTCTTGCAGGGGGTGATACCACCACCCTTGATGTCTTGATTTTGCAATCAACTGACACTCCTACAAACAGTGATCTTTAGTGGCCTGTTACTGCTATCAAGGTGGAAGTCATATTTCACCCTGAGAGATGTAAGATTTTGAAAATGGTGCTGTATGTGGCCACCTAGTATTATTTATGGGAATGTAGAAACCCAGATGTAAGTACTATTAGTAAGTGCAAGCCTTAGACTTACTATGTGCAAGTCTTATAGTATAAGTCTTATAAGTACAATAGCATACACATTTTCCATGAAATGATGATGCTGGAAAGTGAAGACCTATTTCTTGGTTATTATGACTGAATTATTTACAATTTTAATATGAAATTTCCTTTTTACATTTATAACTATTTATAGTCTTCAGGACAGTGAAATCCTATATTTAGAACTTGACATTAAATGTAGATTTTTCATGTTTTCCTACAAACCGATTAGCTTTACATTTGCTTAGATTTGCTCAGATTTCTCGATCTGAATGAATCTCCAAATCAGAGAGACATCATCATTATTGATTTTTTTTTTGATTATTTCATGTTATTTTGGATGTAAAAGGGATAATTTAACTCTGCAGTAACTAAAGAAATGATAACCCTCGTCTGTCTGGTTTTGAACAGCATTTAGGCATGTGCTGGAAGCACTCCATTTAATCAGAGCTTCAGTTACATGAACTGAAGTGTTTTGTAAGATATATATTTATCTGATAAGTGATCTTGTTAAGTATGGACAGATGAGATACAGTTGGAGAAAATCAAAAGTTAACAGTTGCCAAAGGAAGGATGATCTCTAAATGATCTGGAGAAATCTTATTTATTTGTTTCCACTAGAAGGATAGTGATTACAATTGTTGAAGATATTTTGATCTTAATGTTTAGATGGAATTATTGTGTTGCTATAAATGCAATATATTAAAAATAGACTTTGTGATGCTCTATGGGAACTTTAGTTCTTTACATGTTCTTTTCTCTCTGAATAACGGATAAGAAGATCCGTGTTTCTGCAAAATATTTCATTCTTGCTAATATCCTGTTATAATAGATTGCTTACACTTGATATCACACTGTTTGTTTAATCAACTGGTTAACACTGAAGGTGTCCTAGAAGCAGAAGAGATTTCCTCTCATGGCTGGCTTTCTGTGCAATAGCTGCAAGGGTTTTGTTGTTTTGTTCAAACTTTGCCATAGCATAGGTGGTGTATAAAATTCTTCCATGGTTTGCTGAATATAACAAATGGACAGCAAGAGTAGTGAACAATTCCACTGGCCTTTCTTATAATAAGATAAGCTGAAACTGAAAAAAAAAAAAGACTTTAACATTAAATGTTTAATATAGTTCAGTCTTCAAATCTAGGAAATTCTGCTGTGAACAAGGATTGAAGAAGCAGGAAATCACGGTGTGAACCTGTGGGCCCCAAAAAATTGTTTGGAAATGAGGCTAAAATAGATGTGAGCAATTTCTAAATCAGTTCTGTAATCCCTGTCTGAAGAGCCAGATTCCACTTTAAAATAATTGTTCTCTAGACTTCGTTCTTCTAGAAGTAACACTTCCTGTACAAGATTTATGCATAGTGGGTTCCTTGGCCTCTTTTTTTTTTCTGGACAGTCTCTGTATCTCTTGTAGTATTTATAGAAACATTGAAACTGAAGCTCTTGTAATGCTAAGTGTTATGCATGTCAAAATCCTCTGTGACATCAAAGGTGTCCTGCAACATACGTAGTAGAATGAAAAATAACTGTATTAATGACTTCAGATATCAGTCACAATATTAAAGCATGTAAGATGGGTACAAAAAGTCTTCATATCATACCATTCTAATTTACTTCCTAGAAGTTTGTTTTTCAGCAGGGAACACACCTTCTACTCTTGTAGGACTTAAGGGAATACTGCGATTTCTACCGGTATGATATTGTTCATTTTTTTTCAAAATATCCAGTTTACAGATTGGAGTCAGTTTACACATCATTTTTATGACACATGTCAGGACACACAGATTTATGCCTTTTCAAAGTTCTTGTAGTAACAAATCAGTGTAAAGCTTTTCTACATCATTTAAACATTGAAGTGAAATTATATAAAGTGAATCTAATAAAATAAAGTGTAATCATTAATTGAAAATAGTATTACTTTACTGGATTGGCAATAAACGGAATTAAATCTTAGATACCAAAAGAATGGTGTTTTTTCTCTTTAGAAAAGTGTAACTACAATTTAATTAATAGCTCTTTTTGGTTTAACAGATTTCGAAATACGCTTTACAAAAGAAGTTGAATGAAATGGTAAGAAATTAATAAATAAAGAACAGATTTTATGGCAATAGAATATCACCTTAAAGTATAATGCAAATGCTAACCAACTGTAATGCTTAAATGATGAGTGATAATTACAAATAACCAAAAGAGGTGACATCTCTTCTGAATCTTAAAAAAAAAAAAAAAAAAAAACATACACACACACTCTTTTTTTTTGTTTTTTATATTCTGATAGCTGCTGTTTATCACGTAGATTTTTTTTCTCCCTAAATTAAAATAGTTCTCAATTGGTACATCTGTACATTGGTACATTTGGTACATTAATAGTATAGAATGTGATATGAATAATGGAATTACATTACCCTTACGCTTATAGGATCTAGCATATTCATCCTTAAGAAGTAGCAGAGCAGTCTAAGGGGGATTTTTGTTTTTGTTTTATTTTTAAGAAAAACTGATAATATTTTCTTTTCACTCTTTTCCCCTCATCTTTTCAGAATTACTTCTTAACATCAGTTCCCCTGAATATTTAGATTTCATCCGGTACAGCTTACTCCCTTTGACACTGAGAATAAATTTATGCAGAGTGACAGCTTAGTTACTCTGAACCCTGTTGTCTGTTTTAGGAAGTGAAAGAGTGAGCTGCAGAAACATTGCTAAGCTTGACTGAATAAATGCTGTGAAAATTCTGCTGCTGCTCAACTGGAAAGAATAAAGATAATATTGTCAGACCATTATAAACTGAGATTTTAATTAAGAAGCTCAAAAAACTAGGGTCCAGTTTAGCTTTAAGTACCATGACATTTGTACTGAAAGTCATCTTCAACGCTACAGTGGTTTTACACAAAATATGGTGAAATTGAATAATGTGCCCTCTGACCTGGGAGATAAGGCTACAAGTTAAAGATCAAAGGCAACATAAAATGTATTTTGTCCTACTTCACTTTTAACTTGCATTTATTCTTAAAATACATCTAATCTAAAACGTATTTAAAATAAACAAAATTATTGAACTTGTATTATTTCACATACTACCTTTTATTAATAAAACTTACAAGTTCAGTTTTCCATATGAAAGACAATATTTAAATCAACATCTTTTATATAAACTAGAAATACATCTGTGCTGCTTACCCAAATATTTTGCTTTCATATGTTTATAAATAAATTTGTAAATAATTGAGTACTTGAATATTTTGAAAACATTAGAGTACTGTGATTTTGATACACAATATGATTATTAAAAATGTTGTTGAGTGGGGACACCATATTAGAAATCCTCTTTTGAATGTAGCACTACTAAACGTAATACCTATGGCATGGCCAAATTTATACTGGATGCTCTGATTTGAGATGATGAAGACAAAAGAATGAAGTAAATAGAAGTTAATTCTTTCCTTCAGCCTTATGCAGAAGCAGGTTAATACAGTTTTAGACTGGGTCAAATTCGACCAACTTTATTCCTTGAGTATCTGCACTGAGATAAAAGGTAAGTTTTAGAGATCAAAGTAGTTTCCAATTAAGTATTAGTAGCCAGTGTAGTTTCTTAGTTATCACAAATGGCTAAATATTCAAAAGTAAAATGGAGGAAATTCCAATTCGTTCATTTATTTGAGACCTATTTCTGTTTCAGTTTTAAGCTTGTTAGCGAGAAATTAGATTGTGCTCCAGCTAGTATCTTGAGCAAGCAGAGGTGCCGTTTAGTTTGTCTTTGGTACCTTAGAAACCCTGCTAGTCAGAAAAGCAGCTTTGTATCTGCTGAGGAATTGAGCATGCCCTATTGATGTAGCACTTTATTGTGGTTTTGTTAATTTCATTCTGTTCTTTGAATCTAGCACACACAATGTTCATATATTGCATATGCCCCATATTTTAGCCATCTATCCACTCAAGTTTTTGTGAAAACCATAGTGTTAGCATCATTCATATGATGAAAATATGCTAGAATTCTGAAATAGGGGAAATTTTTGGTTTATATTGAAAAACTGTACAACGACAAAGGAATGAAGGACTTCTTGTTCTTCCATTTTTTTCTCTTGTTTCCACAATGAAAGTATTGATTACTATATGCGGTATAATTGCTTTGCACTGGACAGCATATGGATTCCAATTCTTATGCAGTCAGGAGGCTACAGGATGATTATTACCAAGCTGGTTGTCCAGGCAGGATAGAATTGAAAGTGGCTTCTGTGTTGTCTCCCTCTCTTGCTGCTGAAGTAAAGGAATAACTGGAGGAAGAGAGTCTTGGTCAGATCTTTATTTCCTCCTTCACTGGTTTCCTGGGAGCTGATACCGTGTAGAGTGCTCAGGGGCTCTCTGAAAGTATAAATGAAATTTGATACAAAGTAGAAAAGAAATAAAAGTAAATTTTTCATCTATTCATGCATTCCACTGTAACCTGCAATTGTCTGATCCTGGGCATGTCTGAGAAAATGAGCATTTAGAGTTATTTCTGTTCTCCACTACATTTCTGCTTGCAGCACCTAAACCTTAAACACGCATCATGGTGCTAAAGCGTCAGAACCAAGAATAAGACTAAGGCTGGTGCTGAATGTTTTAGAGACCGAATCTTGGATGCGGTCCAAAAGAGCAAATTTGAAGTGTAAATTCTCTGTATAGTCAGTAGGGAGACATTGGTATCTACAAGGTAGTCATTCAGAGCATCCGTATTAGTATGATTAAAATAGATTGGGTGAATATCTCTGTGAATGGGTATTAATTAATATAGTTTCGCTTGCTGACTGTGTTTATATTGATAAATGAATTGTTCTTGGGACCTTTTGTTGAAGCTAAAGTCAAGTGACATGAAATGGCCCAGGTGCATTAAAATCTATTCCTCTTCAAAAGAGGGAAGCTGCATTTAAATGTGCTAGATCATTCCTGGTAGTAAGTCTCCTGAACTGTGTCCAGAAACTGTTTATAGGAGTGCTAGTTGGCCTAGGCCAGAATATGCCAAGGGCATTCGAATAAGGAATAAAGACATTTTCTGAGAGATTCCTTGCCATTCCTTCCACCATTTAGTTTCATAAAATAAATGTATCTAACAAATGAAACGAAAAATGAATCCATCTAAAGGGTTATGTCATTTTAAAAGTTGATTTGTTCTTAATAATCTAAGATAGGAATGTTATTTTCATTTCCTTTTCTTGTATTTTCCTATTTTCCTTTTCCAGACTTTGCCTGTAATTATTCTATGCTGTGTAACAATACAGTGTGAACGAAGTGGTGCAGTATAAATTAAAAGTAATGATTTTGAGGGAAAAAATGGTGAGAACTGTTAGAACTAGTATGGAAACAGTTCTCCTGATTTGAAAATTTACTGTTGGTAGCTCTGTGCATAACTTTCATATGATCTTGCCTCAGGTCCCCATGTTGTAACAACTCCTTTGTTTCTCTGATGCTTTCACCTCCCAGTTACCACCTTCTGTTTTGCTGCATAACTCCAACTAGTGACTCAATTTCCAGAATATTTTTCAGATATGAGCAATTCCTTCTTTGCCTTCTTCCAGTCACCTAACTGACCCTGAACTATTTCCCTGATCTAGTTCCACCAAGAAATCATTGTGCGTCAACAAACCATATGGCCACAATCAGTTCCACTCCCCATCCCAGCTTATCTTTATTACTGGTGAAGGGCAGTGCAATAATTCCTCTTCTTGCAGTATCAGACAGTAGGATGCAGAAGCAAGATTCTGTGGGTCTTGCTCCAACTCCAGGGTCATACCCTCCCTATCCTGCAGTATCTCCTGATGTTTCTTTGTGTTCTATGAAAGAATGTTTTAAGACCTTTATACTGTGAGCAGAAGATTCATATGCTCAGGAGGGATGTCAGAAGGCAAACCAAACTGCGTTTATTTTACTGCGCACTAAGCCTGGAGTATGGCTTGCCATCACAAATTATGTTTAGGCAAGAGGTAATCTCTAGCCACTGTTAAGAGAACTTTTGAGGCTATATCAAGCCAATTCCCTTTCTCATTGGAAAGAGCCCTGGGAAAAGACAAAGCATACTTCCACTCTTCTAGTGAGAAGGAGGGAGGGACACCGGTGTGCTTACTTAAGAAAGAAATTGGGAGAACACTAAGAAAAATGCATATAGAAGTGCAAAAACTCAGATTTTGCCCCTATTTGCCTCAAGTCTCATGTTAGTGACACTTGCTTGTTTGTCCATCTCTAGAAAAAATACACCTGAATGACTGTCAGGACAAAGTGAAATATTGCAAATTTTCCATTTTTTGCTATAAAAAGCACATCCTAGCAATAGTTAAGCACAGTTCTTCAACAGTTTACATACGATTAGGAAAAAGAGAAAGTATATGAAAATTCATTGCCTACATTCCTAGCAGTGATTCTGTAAGTAGTGGTGTTTCTTTACTAGTGCTTCCATTATGACTTTCCATTTGCTGTAATGTGTTTAATTTCATACCTTATAAAACATGAGAAATTTGTATTGTATATCCTGTTTTGCTAGTCTTATGTTGGTCATTTCTTTTGATTACTGTGAGCTTTTATTATCCTCTGTGCTTGGACATGTATTGCATTTGTTACTGTATGAGAAGGGAGCCTTAGAGAAGCTAAACTGGGCCAGATTCATCCTTGTGTAACTGTTGAATTTGCACACAGAAATCAGTTTGGCCCAATTCATTTTAATTGTTCTGTTACTCTACTGAAGATTAGAAATAGATTAGATGTCTAAATAAATGGGTATCTTTTCTGAGGAATTAATTTAACCACTCTCTTTAAAGGAAATCAGTTTAAAAGTTGTCCAAATAGTACATACAAAGCTGTCACAAAAAATTCAATATAAAGAGGAACACAAAAGGAACTTGGTGTATAGGAAAGAAAGGATAACAATTTTTTAAAAAATCAGTGGTATATATCACGGAATATAGTTTCATGTGAATATATATATATATATTTAATCACCCCATCACAAAACAATAGAGAGATATTGGTAAAATTAATGAAATATAAATAAATTTTATTTAATTACCCTGTGGTACTCATTGCAACAAAATATTACTTGGGCCAGGAAGTTAATAGAAGTAAAACAAAGTGTTAGATGCTTACAAAGGTAATTACAAAACTAGAAATACATAATCTTAAAAGAGAACTGAATTCATCACATTTCACGTTATTAGAACTGCTTATTGATACTGCTTTGGAAATCATAGTTGTTCGTTAAAAGATTACTTGTATTTTCTGTGAAGCATGTGCTATTAATCTGCATTAGTTTCACTAATTAACTCAAAGTCACAGTTGCTCTTTAGAAGTAGTTGAAGTGCTTCTGTTTTTAGCAAGTATGTTGAAGTTATTTTTTTTAGGTGTCTCAAATATATAGATTCTCTCCTATCTATCCTTACTCTATGTCATTTTTAAAAATCACAAAATAGTTGAGGTTGGCAGGGACCTCTGGCGATGGTCCAGTCCAACCCCCCACTTAAAGCAGGGTCAGTTACAGCAGCTGGCTGAGAGCCGTGTCCAGTTGGGTTTTGCCCATCTCCAAGGATGGAGACACTCTCACAGTCTATGGCAGTGTCTGACCACTCTCACAGGTTAAAACAAACAAACAAAACCTTAGGTTTAAATGCTGGATATCACTGAGAAGAGTCTGGCCCCATCTTCTTTAGTTCCCCCATCTGGTATTTATACACTTTGATAAGATTCCTCTGAGCCTTCTCTTCTGCAGGCTAAACAATCCCACCTCTCTCAGCCTCTCCTCATATGACAGATGCTCCAATCCCTTAATCATCTCCATGGCCCTATGTTTTGAGCAATATTGAATTGAAAACAGTGTTTTTGTTTGAGTTTATATCTGTGTTGCCATATAGCCTAGAAAGCTTTCCTTGTGGAAACTGTATTATTCGGGAAAGCGTTTAAGACCATAATAGGAAGACAGTACTTGTCCCAGTGGGTTTACAAAAACAGATTGGATGCTCTTCACATTACTTTTTTTTTATTTAACAGGAGGGAGTAAATTTTCATGATGCATGCACTGGCACTGTTGCAAAAGTTTAAGGTGCTCTTACCTTATCCTGTCTCCAGCTGCTTACTCATTTCTGCCCTGTAATCCTCTCTGAAGGTGTTGGGACAACTGATTGTGTGGGCTGTGATTTTAAACTGTCCAGGATTTTTAAAGGGGCCCCATACTTTGTTGTATGGCTGCAACTGAGAGCATGGTTAGTGTGTTTCAGTGCTACAGTATGGTCAAATGAGCAGCCAGGGCAATCAGGTGCAAACATATTGCTGCTGAAGCCACTACTATTGAATCTGCAGCCACGGACATGGGCAGGTACCGCTCCAGTCTGGATAGCTGGTGGGGGGTGGGGTCTGTGTTAAGCTGCATGGACATCCTACATCAAAGGAATGAGATTATGCAATGCTGCACTGAATGGTAGTGCAAGAAGACAAATATTTGTCGCAGATAGACACTGAGGCAGTGTTAGTATGCGAGGCTATATTCACGATACAGTGGCAGACTAAATATGTTCCATGTAGGCCACACAGCAAAGGAAGAAGTTGAAGTGAGGACTGAAGAAAGTTAATGTAGTTGTAAATACATGTACAGGAAAGTTCTGGCAAGCCTAAGGGACAGCATATGAGAATATGTGAAAGAACTTGTTTGGTTACCTAACCAATACGTGAACGTTTTTTGGAATGAGGTGCCATCTGAGATATGAAATAGAGGTTTTCTGGGAATGATTTTGCATTTTTATGCTGTTATGATAATAAGCATTTGGAGAGCTCAGTTATACATGCTAGTTTGTATCAATAAGCAGGTGCTTTATTTCTGTTTCAAACAGGATCAGAAATTACAGATGCACTTAACAACAAAAGAGGAGCATCATAAGAAACTAAATGAAGTTGAGAAGTGTTATGCTACTATTGCATATCAGTTTGGAATTGTAAAAGGGGTGCATGGAAAATTAGAGCACAGTGGTATGTATGTCTTCAATGTCCTCTAGTGTTTGTGTTTGCTATATTTTGATAACACTGAGTTGAAGACACTTGACAGAGTTCAGAGAATAGTAGCTGCCATGTGCCACCTGTGAAACGTATCAACTAACAATTTCTATATCTGAGTAGTTAGTTTCTGCTGAATTTCTTTCTGTGGCAGTGCCATGTTCAGCAGCAGAGTCTTCCACATTCCTCTTCTGCTCATTGCCGTTACGCTAGTACAGCCATTTATGTGGCCATATGGTGAGTTATACTGAGGAACTAATTTGTATTCAGTCCAGAAGCAGACCCTCATCTCCTCAAAAAAAAAAAAGTATTCCGCTTACTTTGAATCAGTTTCCTGTTGCCATTCATCATACATCCCCATAAAAAGTTGTAACAGCTCAAATGAGGGGATGAAAGAAAGGAATTAGCAAATATAATGAAAAATGGATGCTATTTAAAGTAGCTTTGATGCTAAGAAAAAAGGACAGAAATCATTAATGAAATAATATTTCATTTGTTGTACAGAAATATAACATCTTAAAACCAGCTCAGTAAATATATAAGTTCAATATAAATATATTGTTCAGTTACCGTTATCTAATTTCAGACTAAATTAGATATTCAGGCATTATAAATCTATGCCTTATCCCCGTTCATGTGTTAAACATAATATTACTTGGAAATTTACTGACATACAGAAATATTATTCCACATACCTTCATCTTAGCTTTTTTATAATTATATACATATATAAGTTTGTGTCTTCATCTGTAAAGTAAAAATATTGCTATCTTGTATAATGAAAATCTCATTTAAAATGTAGTTTTGCAGCCAGTAATTTGAGAAAGAAATCCTTATTTTACATAACTAATAAATTTGTATGCAAACATACCAGTGTTTGCACCATGTGTGCAACATGGACTTTTGTGAGTGTATTGTTCTGTGTGCCTATAGATTATGTCCATACAGACAATACTATTTTTAAGGAAAGGGAGAAGAAGCTGCGTAGCACAAAAAAATATTTTCAAATACTGAAGCTTAGAAGTTTTTTCTGCCTGAAACCAGCTAGCTTTTCTCATTTCAGTAAATTGGTAAAATGTTATATGGACATTTGTGGTATTTCAGCGCCTCAAATTACTTGTCATATTCAAATGTCTTGAAAATATGTTAAATATTAGAAAAAAATGAAGAGAAAACATTACTGTGCTTTCTTTTTACTTATTATGGAAAAGCCCTGCCCGATGTATGTTTGATACAGAAAATTGTCTTCGGAATTTCATGGAAAAAATAACGTTTGCTCTCAGTATTTATACTATTTGAACCACCTTTTAGAATGTTTCTACTTATATTTTTCAGTAATAAATGCAAAATGAACATCTGTAAAAGATTAAGTTATGAACTGCTTCTGTTCAACAAGAATCCAATCTGTTTACCAGTTCAGCTCTAGTGTATGTTTTACTGCAGTAGGAATTCAATTTGCATGGCAGTACATAAGAATTATACTAGGCATATAGATCCTTTTTAAATGCTAAACAAGAAACTGCAGTCGGCAGAGAAGTCCTGCAGGAAGGGTAGGAGCCATTTTTTTGCACAAATTGTTTAAATTCATGAACTGTTCCTTTTCTGTTTTATTAAAACAGTATGTAAAATGCCACGATTTATAGAAAGATTCAAAACTTATTGTATGAGTGGGGTCCCACTATTAGTATTTTAAAGCTAGTGAGTGTGAATTCATGATATTTATTGAAGTTGAAAGATAGGAGAGACTTGTACCGGTTTAATGCCTGATCCTTTCCCAAGTTGTGTTAGAAGGTACTTATTACAGTCTTGATAAGTATTTCATTTGTTAAGTACATAATCTCATGTAAAACTCCAAGCTTGTTTATTGTGCTCTAAGGCTGTTTCCTACCACTTCCCTTGTAGTTTATCTTCTTTAACTAACAGAATAGGAAAGAGATTTTGGGGAACTTTATGAAGGGGGGAAGAGAAAGGGTGGGAGGGTCTGGAGTTCTTGTGTTCAGTGTTGTGCCAGGAGCTTTTTGAGAAAATAAAAAGGTTAGGAGTGCATAAAGAGGAAGCAGAAATTAGAAAAGGCTGAAAAGAGAATTAAGAGGATCAAAATACTGAGACTGCATAGAGGTGACTGGAAAAGTATAGGGACTAAGGGGTGTCTTCAGGTTTTTGCTGTAAAACTTTACACAATTTCAGAGAGAACTCTTGACCTATATAAAGCTGACGAGAAGATTCCCTTTCACTTTGTAAGGGACAAGTTTATTCTTAGCTCTTTCTCCTCTTTGTTATCCTCTGCTCTTTGCTGTCTTTCATGTCCTATATGAGCATAATCCTGTACATCTGTTAACTCAATTATTTGAATGTTCTGTAGTTCATTATTGTATTGTCTCTTGTGTTCTATATTCCTTTGAAAATAATTAAAAACATAGAAAATTACAAGTTACAAGATGGTATGGACCATCTATTACTACTACTGATGTAGTACTCACATATAGTATCACAGTACACAGAAAGAGTAGTTAAGTCATATTTTCAATCTTAGCTACCTTTCCACGAAGATGTTAAATTATATTATGAATTATATTGATACATTGCAGTTATAAATGTACATTCAAATGTGAAAGTATATGTTGACTTTTTTTACTTTTATTTAAAGTACAGGAAGCAATACAACTCAATAGGAAACTAACATCAGTGAATAAAAGACAAGAGACTGAAATAATTAATCTGAAGGAAGTAAGTATAGTATACATTTCTACACATGTAGATGGGCTTCTCTGGGACTTGTACAAGCTACTGTAGTATTAATAGAAGTAGTATGCACGCAGGAGAACTGTTCTTCCTAATATAATAAATAACTAAATTAGTCTTTGCTCCCTTTTTACGTGCACATATTTCAGATGAATGCCCATCAAACACTGGGTAGCTATGAAAAGTTTCTGTAACCTAGGAATTCTTATTTACCTCTACACCTTCCTATTTTTTTCTTGTTAATTATTGGCAGCCTATCTTCTCCCTGTGCTGCGTTGTCATTGTCTCTCCCATCTAATACAGAAAAGCGGCAGTGATTTTTTTTCAATGTAATCAAAAGAGATAGAACATGAAGATGCGGAAGACTGTTACCTATGCCATAGAAGCAAGTGGATAGCTTGATTTTAAGATGAGAGGTGTAACAGGATCTCCATTAGAAGCAGGAGAGTTTTGTGACAGGGCAACTGAGAGAGTAGGCAATAGGGCTACTATGAACGATAAAGTTGTCTGGCCATTGAGCTCTCTTCTGCTCCTCATCTAGCGGTATTTGTCAGGTACGTTTTTGAACTGCACTACCTCTTGAACATACGTAGTGGTGGTGTAGTAGGGTCTACTTGCCATGGCCTTTGTTTTTATGAAAAGTGAAATTCAAAGATACAGCAGTACTTTATAATTTAGCATTGCGTTTAGTATTGGTTTCTGTTCTTTTTAGGAGTATACAACTTTTCATTGTTAAGTTTTTTTTGGAGTACAGTGCCTCTAGAATCCTAATTTAAAATTGAATTTTATATTGAAATACAGACAGTTTAAGAACGCTGTTCACTTGTTTTGTTCTTTCTCAAGCGCTTTACTTAATGTTGATATTTATTACATGAAGATATTTTTTATCACAGAAAAGATTAATCACAAATTCAATCTAGATTTGTTTAGTTGCATATTAGGACATAACATGGCAAACTCTGTGTCAAAAAGATCAAATTCTGAAGTGACCGATCTCAAAGACTGCAGATCTACCATCATAAAAACAGACTGAGAAACACAACAGCACTAAAGCAGAATACAGAGAAAATTGTCAAATGATGTTATGAATCATTATTAGGTTTTATAGAATTTAGAAATATGTATTGCATGCATAATTCAAATGATGAGTAAAACATATATATTTAATATATTTATCTGAAATATTTGGTGGGTGGGAGAGCAGCAGAAAAAAAATCAGAAACTTATTTCCAGGTTGTCAGTGGTGATAACTTTCCTCTGTAGGAAAGCTATTGTTGTTTAGAATGATGCTGTCATTATGACCCTGAAGGTCTGAGGACAACTTTTATCTTTCCCACATTTGATAGACTTAGATTATAAAAATATTTTTAAAAGGAATTGTGACTTGCATGTGACTAAGAGGAACAGTCATCTAAAATGTAGCGTATCTTTATTCTGATACATTTTAAATACAAAAATTCAGGAGTTTTAGAAATGTTTAAGCATCACAGTAAATTTGATATGTTGGTTTTGGTTAAAGAAACTAAGAACAACTAATTACTTTGAATTCTCTGAGGGCAAATAATTAGCAAGGTATGAAAAAATAAGAAAACTTTTCATAATTAAATTTGTGAGTAGTAAATATGTGCAAGATAAACTGATAGTGATTTGTGTATCCCAGTAATCAAATATATTGCTTGATCCATTTTTTTCAGCTGTATTTAAAATTTATCACCCATGACCTTACGAATCAATATTAAAGTACTGTTAGATAAGCAAAAGAAGGGGCCAGCTGAAACTTAATCTGACTTCGTCAGTTCACCAGGAAATGCCTTTATCCTGGCTGTGTGAATTTCTTACTGGACGTGTAGTATTTGACTGTCTCATTCTGAATGTGGATGGAAAACTGAACTGGGATTTAATTCCTTAGCCTATTAACATTCATGTAGTACTGCAGAACTTTGCTGTGGTAATGCCTTAGTCTGCAAAAAGAGTGGGGTCTTTATTTGTAAACACTGTGTTGTAAATAAAATTCTATGTAATAGAATGACATGCATTTTTCCTCAAAATGTAGAATTTCTGTGAAAACAGAGTTAAAGCTAAGCAATGCAGTAGGAATGACAGCCCATTTTTTCAATATTCCCTAGTTCAACAAACTTGTTTGTAAAGCATTTCTGGTAAGTTGTGTAGTGGGATAGTGCACTCCTGATGCAGATCCATAATAGAGCCTCACAGTTCAAGACCTGGTCTGCAGCCATAGCAAGCAGACATTTCTTTTGTGTCAATTTGTTAGTAAAGAGAAAGGAACTGCTTGGACCTAGTGAAGTGCCCTGAGCTAATTTCGTTCCCCTGTGGTTGTCCTGTACTTAGCGTAACTGTTGCAAAAGTGATCTCAAAAGAGTCAGTTTTTTTTTCCCATGTTGGGGAATGTATCTGTTGTAGAGCTGAGGGAACCTACAAGAGATGCAAAGCAATCAAACAATTTTGATATTTAGAAGAGTTTGGAAGTGGGATTATCAGACTATTTTCACTTGCTGCAAACCTCAAAGAGGTCCTTATATCTGCAGCATGAGTTGGGGCAATTTACAAAGCTCGTTTTATCTGCCTTGGAGACCAGACTGACCTCTAACAGATTTAGCAACTCATGGGTACAAACTGCTTTTCTCTCTATATGTGTTAGTCTCACTGTTGGAGTAGGAATGAATATTCTTAGTACTGAAATCTTAGTTTGGCTGTCAAGTTCTTATCACAGCCATTACTTTGACTCAGACTGGGGTGATCTCACACCGTTGTTCTTAATGGGAATATGAAGTTAGTGAATGCAATTTAACATTTATGGATAAAAGTAAATTAATCTCCAAACTTAATGAAGTTGCAAGTATGGGATGGGGGAGTTTAGTGCGCACAACAGTAGAACCTGGATTAAATGGGGGTCTGTTCTTTGCAGGATTAGTCTTTTGGGATTTGTGGAAAGAAATATTATATAAAGAGGATGTGGTTTGTTCTTGACATGGCCTGCTTACTAGTCTAGTTATGATAGCATGGCTTAACAGACTTTCTAGAATAATTTCATTTCCAATGACGTTTATTTTAGGATTTGAGCATTTACGTATTAGCTGTGGTAGGATTTTTTCATGCACTATGAAATGCTCGATTTGAAATCTGGCCAAGAAAAGCAGCAGAATGGAAACAAACCTTTGAAAAACAACTACGCTGACTGAGGCCTGAAAGTTTACCAGAGAGTTGCACCATTCTAGGAAGAGAGCAAAAAAGGTCCGCTTGTAATTTTGGGTACACTTTAAGGATGTGTAAGGCACCAGCAGTGTCTTGGGAAGCAGATACATCTGCCTGCCTTGGCACCTGTTTCCAGCCTTGAACCACCACTTCATGCTGGCCCATGCATTTGTGTGGCCCAGAGGGAGAGCAGAATGAGAATTTTGTATTGCTCAAAACTAAATTTGACCAGAAAGGAAGTGAATTTTAGCTTAGATCAACTGGAAAAAGAAAAAGTATGTTTAAGGAGCAGGGCTGTTTCTTTCTGTGACACTTTTGACTTACGCTGGCTTAAAGTATTTCTAAACCGTTGATGGCAGCCAACACTTCAGGACACATCAGAGGAATAGGTCTAAAGCCTTAGCTATCTTTTATAGCGTTTCCTCCCAAAATTATAAAATTATTTTCCAGATTGAATTTAATGTATAAGGTTACCAGTGATCTTTATTAATGACAGAAAGTTACTAGAAGAGAAGCAGAAACTCTGGAGCTGAAAATCTGTTAATTTACGAGGACAAGAAAATATATGTATGTATGTATGTACGTCTAAAATTATGTTACATAATTTTTACAGCTAGATAGCTTGTGCTTTCACTCATCACAGAAAACTTTCCTGTTGTTTTTGGTGATCTATGTTGTTTCTTTTTGTTTGCTTTTTGTTGTTTGTTTGTTTTTCTTCATACAAGTTTGGTAGATTACCAGATCTGGGATTGATACCTGATGGATTATACATGTCCACCTGCTATATGTAAGGAAGAAAACACAGTCATCTTTCCTACCTCATGGGCACGATTTGCATTGTCTGGCTTCTTTTTTTCCCTGTGACAAAATAAGTAGTAAGATTTTTCTATGCATGGCACTAAACTCTGAATTTTGGAAAACATGTAATATCAGATCCATAGCAGGCTTTTGCACCTGCCTATATAGCATACAGAGCTTATTAACTGTCTTCTACATACCATAAATCTAGTTCTCAGTAAAAGATTGGCACTGTGCACCTTTTCACTTTTACAAAGTCAAACTGCTTGCACCTTCTTCCACTTAAATGTAGGAACTCTCCTTATTTCTTTAATTATAGAGGCATCTAGTAAAAATAGTACAACTAGTATGTGGGTTTTTTATTGCAAAGATGGAAAAAGCCTAATTAGGTAACTGAATATCACAGTTCTAAAGCATTATTCTCTTATTAGAGTTGTCTAATTGACTCAAGAGATTATACATAGTTCCTGCTTGATCATTTTAGATTTATTTATGGCTTAAAATATTTGAGAATTCATGTTTTTAGCAAAAATGATTTATTTACAAGTAGTATCTTTTTCTTTTCCATATAACTTTATATTTGTGAATTTCAGCTAAAGCATAATCTTCCCTTTTCTTTTGTACTGCTATATGATTTTGTCCAGAGCAGTTAAACCATTGGTCTGTGATAAGATGGAATTCCAGTTTTGTGAAGAAAAGTTAAACAGACCAAACTTAGTTGTTAGATAAAACTATTACCATTCTGAATGCTTGGTTCACCACTATGGCATCATGAAGAATTCTTGATGCTATCTGTGAACAGCATTCATAACCTCTGCTATTTGTCTGAGTAAACGTCAGAGCGCTCAAGGAGAGAGCGATATTAAACAGACTACCTTGTACCAGAATGGGAGGGGTGGGGGAGAAAAGGGCACAATATTTATGACTCCAGGAACTATAAGTTGTAATTTAATGAGATCAAAGCATGTGCTGTTTATTCGCTGTGCTAGGATCTTGGAATAAACTGGTTAGAAAAGAGATACCAAAAAAAGCAGGATATTTAAAAGATTATAAAGACTATAAAATCAAAGGCATATTTTAAATGAAAAATCATGTTGTTCAAGCCTCTAATATAAAATTAATTTAGCATTCTCCTGAGATTAAGTAATTAATGTTTCAGGGAAAGCAAAGATCCTCCAAATTTATAGCCAGTTCCTGTTTTTGCCAGATATTCACTGTTCTTCCTTTTTTTCCTCTTGATTCCCATGAACAGCACAACAGCTCTTTTAGGTACTTTCTTTCTATTATATAATCTCAACGTAGAAATTTTTACCAATATCAATTATTGTATAACTTAATCTCCACTTCTTATGTCCTCCTAGGAAGAGAAAATATCAAAATACGGATTCTTATTTGTAAAAAACGACTTTGTAGTGATTTTATTCAGAAATACTTCAAACAATTAGACTAAAATTAGTACAATAACATTTTACTGTTTAAAATAAACTTTCAACCACATTTGACAGTTTAAAGTATAGCTAATTTTTACAAATTTTGGTTCCTCAGTTTAATTTATTCTAGTATTTCCGTACGTTATTTAAAAGTGGAGCATGACTCAAGATAGTTTAAAAGATTTGTCTTTGTTTTGAATTGCAATGCCTATACTGGATGAACTATTTATACGTGTTTCCTGTGTTAAGGAACTGAAGAAAGTAACTTCAGACTTGATAAGGTCCAAGGTCACATCTCAGTACAGGGTGGGAGAAGAAAACATCAATCTTGCAGCAAAGGAAAAAGAGTTTCAAGAACTGCAACAAAAAATCAGAATGGTATTTTGGTATTTAAAGAAATTAAATTTTTGGTTAATGTTTTCTTATTGCTCATTTAGAAAACATCATGGCAATGATCTCTGTGATGTGTACATATTAGTGCTTGCTTTCTAACTGCATATACTAATAAAATTATTTCCAGACTATCTACCTTTTCTAGGAAAGTTAATATTTTATGAACATGAGTAAAATTTTATAGTAAAATAATATTGATGAGAAAATATTTTCAAAAATGCTATTTCTTTAAATGGTCTGTAGGTGACGATGCACAATCGCACTCTAATACAATATTACTAAAGAAAATACAGGCTAATTTTAAATGTCTTTTGTAGTACTTCATGTTCCTTATTTTTTTAAGGAGACAGAAGTTAGTAAAAAAGTTCAGGAAGAAAACACTCACATTAAAGAAGAAAAGCTGGTGAGTAGTTGATAGAACTTTTGGTATTTAAAATTACTTAAGAATGTATATTCTATATATTAACATTTAAGATTCTCAAATGATCATACTAAGCCATTAAAACTAATTAAATTCACTTGTTTACTTTTCAGAAATAATGTAATAATAACTCAGATGGGATCTTACTCCTCAGTTCTTAAAAAGTAAATTAGCGGCGCAAACTACATTTTTGACACTTTATTCCACGTCTTAACTTTTATCTTTGAATTCAGATGAGAGAAACTTGGTATACCCATGAAAATAATTGTTCATATATCTGTTCAATACAACTAAGCAATAAGATTTGCAAAATACGCCTGCTGTTCTGCGTTTTGATACCCAACAGTTTACTGGTATTTAAATTAAGTAAACTTGGAATCATATATCAATCATATGGCAAGGAAATGGTGTTCCATTCATACAGAACATATACATCTACAATATTAAGCTAAACGTATGCCTAAACAAATTTAAGACTTCCATCTTCTATCTCAAATCATTTATGTTCCTAAGCAAATCCTGCTACTCAAACCAGGTATATGGAGTCATGTATCAAACATGCAGCAAGGAAATGGTGTTCCCTGCAATTATAGTGCAATACGCTGCTTTGCAGAATATCAAGCATAAAAATTATTATTGCTTTTTAATAGTTGAAGAATTTTTATTCTGCAGGCCATTAAATCAAACATGTCAGAGAGGTGTTATCATCCTTGTTCTGAGGGAGGGACAAGAGCAGCAGCTTGCGTGTGTACCCACTGAACAGTCATTAAAGGCTTACGCAGCAGCACTGTTCCAGTCCTTAAAAGTCTTGTTTGTGTTTAGAGTTTGCTTTTGGAAAATACTTGCCATTAAACATTAGAAAAAAATGAGAGGTATATAGTCAGTCTATCCTCATTATTCCCACGGCTCTGAATGTGCTGAGAGCATTCCCGTGGAGATGCTTGTTGACTAGTGTTATATAATATGTATTATCTGAGAGAAGGACTGGTATTGCCCATGTTTATCTGTTTAGTTTTATACAAATTGCTAGTTTGTTTTTTAATACATGTCTGTTTTGGTATAAATCTGGGGAGGGGTCTAATATAGAGGTTAACTTCATGTTTTCTCCAAGAGCTTGGCTTAGAAGGTTTGGATTTTTGTGTTACACAGAGACATAAAAATTTGCTATCTGGATTAACTGAAGTTTTTGGCTTCAGTGGCTGTTGAGCTGAGGCTGAATATATTATCTAAATGATAGCCTGTTTACAATGAAGTGTATGTAGGGAAGCAACCTTGTCTAGTTAATTGAATGCTGTACTGGACACAAAGGACCTAACTGTGCTACTCACCTGCTAGATGACACTGGGCAAGTCATTTCACATCTCTGTACTTCAGTTTTCTAGCTGTAAAACTGAACTAAAAATAACTTGAAACTTCAATGAAAAACGTGATAGACCAACATTATTTCTCTCTGCGTGAAAGTATACCAAAAATGATAATTTCATTTTAGTTAGGTAGCTGTATCTATGTATACGATAGAAGTAAGAATAGATAAATTTGAAAGGTCGTTAATTATATGAAGGTAACTTGCTTTAATAACATATTTCTCAATACCTTTTGAAGTAACTGAGCACATTTAAAGCTATCTTCTGCCTCAAACTCAGTTATGTTCCTGTACAGATCCTTCTTCAGTAACTGCTGGTCTGCTCTTTAGGGAGTAGAGATTGGCTTGGCTAGATCATCCCCTCTGTCTTAGAGTCTTTGGAAAGGTATATGATATTGCTTAGTATAAAATGGCTTTCATTGTCTCCGTTCCATGCACGTTGTTAGCTAACTACAACAAACATTATTAATGGCAACATCCTGAGGTTTTTAAATCTATACCACCTTGTAAAACACATTAATCAACTCATTTTTGGATGGTTCTCTCTTTCGATCTTACTCTCCTAGAAATAATGGTATAGTCCATAGTTGTTTAGCCACATCAGTTCTATCTATCTGGAAGATTTTCTATCAGGCACAATCCATTTCTTTCAGCGAGTCTTTCTAAAAAGATGATCTTTTCCTGCAGGATAGATGAAATTTTGATACTTGAGCTTTGTATTGGACCAATTTGGACAGTTTGAAAGTAAGCTGATGTGATGGATTAACACGCTAGTCTTTCACTCTGGAGACCTAGTTTGAAAATACTGAAGAAACAATTGCAGTGGTCCGCTTTTTTGGTGTCACAGACATAACAGAACAAAGCCATGTTACTTGTCATCATTCTTGGTTTCTAATTCAAGTCTGAAGACTAAAAGAGAATGAGATTGTTACAGGTCAAGGTTGTAGTTTTTGTTAGTAGAACTCGGTGCAAAGTTCATGTAGTATCATTTCACGTTACCTGGAGTTTAACCTGGGATTGGGTTTATTAATTCCTCATAGTAGTGAATGTTTTATTTGTTAATGGCCAAACAATGAACCCCATGTAATAGTGATCAAAGGACTCTTTCTGGCATCATGGAGTAAGATTAAGAGGCTGAAAATTTGACCCTAAATTTATCCAGAATAAAAAAAAAAATGTGTGAGATTAGTTGTATTAGTTATAAATGGTTTATTAATGTAACATCATTGATGAAGGTACCACAAGAAGTTCACATTGGGACAGCAAAATCTGATGTTCATGAATCATAGCACAATATGATGCAATAATAATGTGTGTTAGTTCCACTCTATTAAGAGTTAATTAAAGAGCTACAGAATAAGGTTACATAAGGGTGATCCATTAGTGAAATCTCATATAATTTCTCTGGAATTTTTTATATTTTCCAGAACTGTAATATGGTACCATAAAATTATGCCAGATTAACTGAACTCACAGTGGAGTTGGATTTGACACATTTTAAACATAATGCATCTGAATAAAGTATCGATGCATTGCTCGTTTTAATTATAAGAAAATTAATTGAGGCAGAATAGAGCGCGTAATCTTCTCCCAGGAAAAAGGCCAGAAAAGCTTGGAATAGCCCTGATTTCTTCCTCCAAGTCCTTCCCTGATGTTGATGTTGGTTGTAGCAGGGAATACGTTTGTACATACATTATTTTATAAACCTTTCACAGAAGAAAAAATAAATGTGTTAATCTAAAAGATAGAAATTATCTAATGTTTAAACTTCAGAAACAAAATTTATTCAATATATTTTGATTTGTTTTTATTAATAAGGAAATTCTCAGCTCTCTACAATGTGTGCAGGAGTTGCTTCAGCGAATAACCCAAACGAATATTAGAGTGGAAGGTGAATTAAATGCACTGAAAGAAGAATATCAGGTCAGATTTTTCTTGATTAGACAAGCTGCTACTATCTGCTTTGTATTTTTAAGTGTAGGGCTGTTAAAGACATCTGTACGCTATTCAGAACTTTTGACCTCACTTCCATTGCTCCCTTAGCTCCCTAACTGTCAGCATGAACCTTGAAATGCACTCTATGGTTTCCCTTTTCTAGTTCTCCTGCAAAAGTAAATCATGGTTGCCATTCTTATCAGCCATTTCTGGAGGGTAAAACCAGAACATGCTTTGGTTGCTTTCAAGTATTTAGTTCTGAATAAATGACTTTGTGGCTTTTTTTTTTTCCTGATAATTAATTTTCATGTAAGTTATACTTGTTACTGGAAAATACTTAAAAATACCAGATCGTCAGAGCCAGAGCTTGTTCCTAATTTTATTAGAGCAGAGCGGCCAAAAAAAGAGCATATCCTTAGCCCTTTCTGGCTGTGCGTTAGGGATGGTAGGTATTCGTGTTGGAGAATATGGAGTGGCAACATTCCCCAGTTGCTCTTTGAGAGTATTGAAAGGGCTCAAAACAGATCAAGTCTAAATTATACTAGCAATCAAATTGGCCCACAGTACATGAAAGATTAAGGTCATATCTGTTCCAGTCAGGTGTCCTATGTAGAGTTCAGGTTCAACAGTTGATGGGGCGCTTAATAATTACTGTATATTATTTATCCATATAACTGTACAACTATTCCATTCCTTGCTTAGCCTCTAAGGTCAAGGTTTTGAACTATGATCTCAGTTTCAGAGTTAACTTTTTGTGTGCATGTATGCTTTTGTTTCTAAGTAAATGATTCTATGCTATATTGCAACTAGATTCACTTCACCTAAGCCTTTACTTTTACTTTGCTAGATGTAAGCATTTTAGCTTCTGCTGCAGTATGAATACCTTTTGTATTTTGACTGAACAAGTAAGGTTAAAGAAGAGCTATGCTCTCCATCAGAAACTAGCTAGAAATTCACTGGAGACTAAAGTACCTACTTTGTAGTCCTGGATAAAGCTGTAGTGATGGGAAAAAGATAAGTCACTGATTTCAGATGTCTGGGTTCCTGCATTTGTGTTACTTTAGTGTGTTGGTTTTTCATGGCTATTAAAATTCTTTGAATGAGCACTAAAACCAAGAAGAGATGCTTCTCAGCATGGAAAACAGTCCTACTAGTCTGTTATGAATCTCCAGAGCTTTCCAGTTCCTTTTTCATATATTGGCTCTATTAAAAACATTTAAACATGACAAAACACAACTTAATGGGAAAAGGTTAGTGGTTTTTTCTTGGCATGCTTGAAACTTTTGGCCAAGATCAATTTAAGCAATCCTACAGGCAAGAGACTATTAATATAGCATGCTCTTCTGTGCCTTTTTTATTTATATTCTGAGTAATCAGCAGAAATAGTGAGGCAGCTGAATTAGTTGCTATTCATATAATATCAATACTACTTTTTGTTAGAGTGAGAAGGTAAAGTTCATTTTCTTTTCTAAGCTGATTAAAAGTAATTTGTAAATAAAATCAAATTTCCTGAAGCTCAAGAAAAATAAGTTGAAGATAATATTCACAGCTTAGAGGAAAAAAAAAAAAGAATAACTTATAAGTAGAGGGCTGAATACGTATTTTGAGGGATCATCCCACTTTTCTGCCAACTTCAGAGCTATTGCTTTCATTTTTATTGATTCTAGAACCTCAACATTATGAATGGGGTCTGGAGGCCAATTACAATTCCTACGCTCCATCCTACTTCCCTGTTGTATTTGTGGATCTTGCTCATCACTAAATTGTTTCTTCTGAATAACAGAAAAATGGAAAAAGTGACTGTACAGTCTGGAAATGTTTTTATTTCTCTTCTTGTATGCACAAAAAAAAGCACTTATTTATAGGTTTGAGGTAACTGGACACTTAAATTGGCAAGGCTAACATTCAAGCATGATCAAACTGGCCTTTCTCATTCTCTCTAGGAATACCTAGCATTAGGATATAAATGTCCTTAAGAGTTCAGAAAAGCAAGTCGTATACCTTTAATGGATGACAGTATTTGAGAATGCAAGGAATTGAGGTATTCCCCTCTCTACACAACTGGCTTTAACATATGAATGATTCTATTCTTCAGCTACTCCAACATTTTCTTCTTTTATATCTTAGAGTAAATAGGAGGTTGGTATTTATTCCTATCTAAATAATAAACTTCTTAAGGAGAATACTGGCCTTATCTTGACAAAAGCCTTTTTGTCCAAAAGAGAAATTGATCATAACAGTTAACACATTATCACAAGTTATCGCAACAACTTTTTTGTCAACCTGAAAGGTTCCCCCAAAAAAACCCACAACCCTTATTATGCATTTTGAAAGCAAACACCTGTGTGCCTAAACCTTGTCATTCTCCAGTAGGAAACCTGAAGGACTTACATGCCTGGAAATGTTTTTTCCAAGAGTGTTCCTTGGTCAAATGGAAGGAACATATACCTTACAAACTCTTTCTTAACACAGATACAACTGTACTATTCAGTATAAAATATTATTAAAATCTCTCCCACTAGAGAGGGAATTGCTTCTATCAGATTTGTTTGCAACTAAAGAAAAAGGTTTCTCAGAATCCCTTCCAGGGAGGGGTAGTGCACAGAGGTCTTTTGGTCATGTATGTTCATGACTCACAGGACTAAAATATACATAATTTTCAATTATGCAAGCCACGTGCAAACTCAGGGAGGACTTAACCAAAATGATCATGCTAACTCTGGCATACCCAAGTTCTGCTTCTCATTTCTGGAACAATCTGTATACCCAGTGACATTCCATCTACCAGTCACTGTAATCAGTCACCTCTCAGCCGTTCACGATTACTTGGTCTTCTAACAATTGGATACTTTGACTCAGTATCCCTCCAAATTAGGGGTCTTCCTCTTCTTGGTCTCCAGAACTGGAGTATTTCCTTTGAGTACATTAAAAATATTAGATTGATTTATTTACATATTTAGAACAGATGTGGCTTTGTTTTGCACTACATGCCTTTTATCTCCACACATTTCATGATTCAGCAATGGAGCAACACCCAAAATATTGAACTGATGATGCAGATGGTGATGCTATACTTATAGAAGAAAAGTATTTTGTCTATTGATATCGCTACAAAGGATCTTCAGGATTTAAAAATGTTTACAGTTAACCTTTTCAAATATAGGGTTGATCTCATTTTCCTCATGTCCATACTGCTTCTAATTACCCCTCTTTATGATTGTAAGAAGATACTTTGGATAGTTTGTTTTGAAACTATTGTTATTTCAAAGGTGTTCCAATAGGATACGGTTGTTAGCTGAGGGGTTCTATTATTCCATAGGCATTTCAGACTGATCTCCTATGCTAAATGGGCAAAGCCAAGGTTTGCATTAGGAGTGGAGATCTTCAAGGAAAACTTAGGGTAACACAGCTAACTCTTCTTTCTGCAGTGTTAGGTTTGTACATTAATATGCTGCTTGTGTTGCCCTAAGAGCTCTGCTGTAAATAACTGCTGTATTCCACCTGAGAGGAGGTTACATTTGGGCTACAAGTTAAAGAATCTTTGGTATGTGAGCAAGTGTATCGAAGAAAGGAGGCCTTGAACTCCTAGTTTGTACAATTGGTGCTACATCAGTGTAATTCAGACAGCATATTGCTTGTATCTTCTTTTTAATTAGTTAATAATATAAGAGATTTACTCTGACAGATTCTAAATAATTTTTTCCATGTGTATTCAGATGGGAGGTATCCTGAATTTTCTCATTGTTATTAATACAAATATATTTTACAAGCATAATGTAGATACATTAATACAGGCATTTTTAAATTGTTGCTAAGTGAATCAAGAAGTAGATTCCTAATTGTAGTTAAAAGATTAAGTAAAAAAGAATTCCTCTGGAGTATGTCTCCATTACTAACATTTTTCAGGTGGGCTTTCAAAGCAGCTCAGCCAAGTCATATATATAATAGTGCATTAAAGTTATGTTTACATGATCAAATATGTTTGTATCATCTATACAGAAGATAATGGATGCAGTAAGTCCTATAAAAATATGATAGGATAAAAATTCCAGCAGTACCTAAGACATGTGAGAAGTGTTGCATTGATTTACACAAGATAGCTGTAACTTATCTATGTGACAGTAAAGCTAAAAAAGTTAACCAAAAAATTTTGCAAGTATTTATTCATTCTGTTTCAGTGATGTAATAAAGATCATCAGACATATACTAAATACTCCATATTCCAATAAATATATTTTACAATTTAAAGTTAATACAGTTTATAAGATAGGTTAATAAACAATTTAGGGTAGAAACTAATAAGAAAAACAAAGATATTTTCTTTGGCTATATAGTAGTTTTTTCTTTAAACTCACTGGGCCTAGATTGTGCTACATTTCATATTTCTCATCTCTGCACTTTATATTACTTTTTCAGTACATTAAAACTTATGCAGTGAAACTGAATAATGGCAAGTGTTTTTATACCCTTTTATAGCCATTTCTTTTTTCATAACCTCCCCCTGTTTCCTGTTAGCTAAACTATAAGCACCTTTCTGTTAATTTATGAAAATTATTGTTGAGATAGCACATTATCACTGATCTGTATGGCACTTTCAGCATGTTAGAAGCAAAGGTCCAAGCAACATAAAACACATCAAAATTCATTAATGTGGTATTGATTATTTTTTGGATAATTAATTTTATTGCAGGCCCTTGAAAGAGATAATGAGCTGCAAAGGGAGAAGGCAAAGGAAAATGAAGAAAAGTTCCTTAATCTTCAGAATGAGCATGAGAAGGCACTAAGAACTTGGAAAAAAGATGTAGGTTTATTAAATTAAATGTTAGAGTATTAAAAGGTTTTTGAAATAGTCATCAAGTATTTCAGATAATTTCTAAAAGCCAAAAAAAATGCTGCAGAAATAATATAAATAAAAAATATATAATTTCCTTTCTCAGACTTCTCTAGAAATGAATATTTTTAAAAGGTAGATTTAGGAAAAACGCTGACTTCTGTGCTCTAAAGGGTCAGTGTATTTCCTGCAGTCCTATAAAGCAAGAGCCAGGGTATTAGGTGTTATCTTGAATTTAGCATTTAGAAATACTCCAGAATTACACACTTGCCATTACCTAGAAATAGAAGCTGCTATTTTTTTCATTTACATTGATTGAATTTTATATAACTTCAGGTCCTTAGTAATTTCTTACCCAACCTATTCAGAGTGTGCCAACGTTTCTGTGAATCAATGAATCATACATTAATAATTGAATGTACATCCACATAAACAGAAGCTGTGACCTTTCAGAAGTACCTTTAGTCTATATGTCCAGAAAAAAAACCCAAACTGAATCAGGTAGAGATGCTGGAGGGTTGCGTGAAGGCAGAGGTCCTTATTTGACAGAAAGTATTCCACATGGACTGTGGGATGAAAGGGGATTTAAAAAAAAAAAAAAAAAGTAAAACCCCATATGACCTCTTAGTGAATTCATTTCTGCATACATCCAAACAATAATTTGTCTTCAATATTTGCTCTTCTTTCTACTACTTTATTATTTTTAAAGAATACTTCAGTAATTATTTAGTCCAAAATAACTGGCAAAATACTGTAGCTGTACAAGTTATCTACAATAATAAATGCATGTGTACAAGAAGTTTCATGTGTAGAAATTACACTCCAAGTAGAATTTGTTTAATAGCCTCTCTTCTGTCTTTTATTTTTCCTGAATTGGCGCGTACTGGCGAAAAGGTATTGAAGTTGGTAGAGGGACCGTCTCAGGGAACACTTTGGGCAAATTATGTAAAGTTGTTCTTGTAATCCTGCTTTTCTCAGACTCTTTGAGCACAGGTACTATGGAGATGGTTATAACCCTGAGGCTACAAAATAGCTGCACTGTTCTGATGCTCACTGTTCGGAGGACGGAAGACTCCATCTCCCTGATTCCTAGGAGAGTCTTATACTGTAGTTTTGCGTATAGACAAGGGAATTGGCCATTTATTTCTCATCAATGTTTGCAACTAACCTTTAGAAGATCTTTTTTTTTTTTCCATGTTTCTGCTATGGCTAACTAAAAATCAGGTCTTCTAATTTATTTTAGTATAGCAGCATCATGGATAATGTTAACTTTATACACTGCTCTGGAAATAGCATTTTTTAATGAAATGAAGAAATTTCTGTAAAATAACCCTTCTATTCTTTTTGCATCTTGTCCTTTTGACTTTTCTTTTTGTTCTAAATCTAAAAATGTAGTTGTTACATATTCACTGAAAAAGCAGTGGATACTCGAGTCTATTTACAGAAGTAGTACCAAGCAAATCATTTGTAGTCATAGATTCTTGACACTGTAGGCAGAGAATAATGTTGACTAGCATGTCTATTTTTGAGCAGAAAAAGGAAGAAAGCTACAAATACAAATCCTACTTTTTTGAGAGATACTGCTTGAAGTACAAAGTGAACAAAGCCTGATTAGTGTAAAAAAAAAAAAAACAAAAAACCCACCCTCTGTGAGATAATGGAAATGTGGTTAAAATCCTTGGTTTGAATGAAGGGGCTCAAAATTATCTTATTCTGTATACAGGACTTCCTTGGCATCTGTATTTTCATTTTATTATTTAGCATAAGGATTTACCTTAATTTGTTAAGCTGTTGTTACCACTGTAAAATACTGTGTTTCATGTTTGAACATGCAGTAAAGATCATTGTGTTCTGTGTACCCTCAATTATTGTAGGAGGAAAATATGAGAAAAGAGATGAATACTATTAAAAATGAGCTGAATTCCCTCAAAGGAGTTTATGGACATCTTGAAGATTATCGTTCTCCTCAGGAAGATCAGCATTCTGAGCAAGCAGAAAATCTGCAGGTAAGTGTATCTAATAGGTGCAGCACTTTCCATTTCTTGTAAAAAATACTAGAGCATGAGAGAGACAATGACAGTTTATAATCTGGCTCTGGTATCCATTAATCTCTCTTTGACATTACTAAATCAAGTAATTTCTGTGATGTAATCAATGATCCAAGATCCCATTGCAACTTACTGTACACAGAGAAAGTTCCTCTTTCTTTTTGATGGGTACTTCTTCCATAAAAATTTGAGATGTTCATTGCCTCATTAATAACTTTATACATAGATAGCATTTATCTTAAATAATCTAGGTTTACTAAATCCATTTCATGAACATGTTTTGCACAGGTGTTTCTCAAATACTATCTGTGCAAACCCACTGACCCTTTACCTGTAAACAAGTTCCTAGAAACGTGGAATTGATTTCAGCCTCTGTAGCATGAGACAGATCAGAATTTTCATCATATCAATATATAGATTATCTAAGGTCTTCAGTTTTATTTTAAAAAAAGCTTTATTTTGTTTAGTATCTTTAGAATCATCAAAAGCATAGCAGGCTGAACAAGCATATGAATGCAGGAAGCAGAAGGCTGTTTTAGGCAGTGCAGCTTGAACTAGGATTTGACTTGCATTGCAGGCTGAACAAAGTCCGTGCTCAGTTCTGTATTCAGGGCATGTATGAGAAGTCAGCAAATGGTTAAGCACAGATAGCTTCCCTTTTGGAGCAAAAAGAACAGCATGTAGCACTGCAGCTATGTGCTATCCCTTACTTAAGCTGGACTGCAACTTTATAGCCCAGTCCTTCATAATGCAGAAACAATTGGAAC